ATATATGACTGTACTATTTTGAACGACTCACAATAGTTAATAAAATAAAAAGAATATGAGCTGGCAACACCTACTAAGGTTGAGTAAAAATTAGGCAACAATATTAATTACAAAATAGACAAATTTTTAATAAAAAAATAAAAGAATATATTACAGATAAATTTTTTGTAGTGACATACCATGAGAAGAGATGCATTATGCCGGGAGAAGAGGATGAGGCTACAAGAACTTTATATTATATCCCAACAGGTCTTTGCCAAACATAGCAGACATAAGTTAAAACCGCAATAAGGGTATGCCACTAGCTCTGGTCCAATGCTTACTTGGACACCATGCACCGATACCAGAGATAGACAACCCTGCTTTAATCAACACCTCTGACTGCGAAGCTGAGCACATCATCCCCAGTAAAATGATAGTCAAAATATTAAGGACGGTAACTTAACCCGTTTAACCCATTTAATCTAACAGTAGTCGCATCTCTTATCCTCTTATTTAGGCATAGTGGTTGCAGTGTGTTTCTCAGACCTCTCCAATTTAAATTTTTTACTTCTATATTAAATAAATAACGTTAATTTTTGGATATTTGTTGTTTAAGATGAGGTACAGGTCACACTAAATTTTAACTTGTACCTAATTTGAAAATTTAGAAAGCAAACTCAGAATGCAACGAATACAATTCATGATATAGTCTTACATTTTTTTTATTTTTTTTCAAATATTGTACATTGAACGCCGTATGTTACTCCTGAAAAAATAAAAAGAAAGTTCATTAAATGTAAAAAAATAAAATTTTCAAAGACAATTTGTTGAGAGGGGCATCTCATATGACTAAATATTACCTTTTTTTTCGCAACATTCGTTACAAATAACAAAGGAATGTTCTAAGCGCAAGTATATATTACATTTTGCGCAATAATATCTTGTTTTCTGCTTTTTACCCTTACACTCAGAGCAGTTTCCTCTATGGTTGTCTCTTTCTTGAATACCTAAAATTTTTTTATTCTAGCAGTTATGTTTCCCGGAATATTTTTGTTTATTGCACGATTCCTCAAATGTTCGTCAACAAGTGAAAATGATAGATCTTCCAAAAAAAAATTCTTTTCGTAAATTTACTTCAGTCAACGTTTCCTTCATATATAACTTGAGAATTTATACTAGACACGTTCAGCATACTGATGAATGCTATCATTGAAAACCGCCTTGGGTTGCGGGCGCAATTATACAAAGTATATAATCTGTCGACCATATCTACACCTCCCTTTGTTTGATTGTAGCTTGTTATTATCTCAGGTTTCTGTTTTTCACCAGTATTCTTACCAATGCCGTCTTCAAGCAAATTTTATAATAAAAGCACAATCTTGCTTTTCTTAGGGATGTATGATACTAATATGTATTTATTTTGGAACATACTTGAAAACGGTGGACGGATTTACCATCGAGAAATAATGGCTTTCTAACTGTACCCGAAATAGTTTTAGTCATGGTTCAGTAACAGGACATCAAGTAATATAACATTGGTTACCCTTTATCTATGGTAATATTTCTTCCAGTATTGCACACTGGTTCACCAAGTCGTTTGACAATACTAGCGGCTCATTATTTACTTTGAATTGTCCCTCTGATGTTGAGTTCTGACGTATACCTCCATATTTTAAATATAGTACATTTTCGCATCTGCCAGAGCAAAAAAATTTTGACACCATATTTATTTGGTTTATTAGGCATAAATTGCGTAAAATTGAGACGTCCCCAAAGTCTCCAATTTTTCATTTATAGTCAGATCCTAGGATGGAACATAGGAGTTTTTACAGTTTTCGACAAATCAAAATTTGGCCGTATTGGTGCTAACTTACCTGTAGTTTTCCTTTCTGTCCGAGTGTCTATACCGTCGAATCGTATGTACCTCATTAAAAAACGGAAACTCACAGTAGACATTGTACAGAAAAGAGTTGCTAAATTAACCAGTCGAAGTGAAATATTAACTCTTCTTGGCTTAGTGTATCTCGCTGCTATAACCATGAGTAGTAGACTAAACAATGAGCAACTATGGGCCACAAATGGTACAGGGATAGATTTTTTCAGACTTACTAAGTTTAATATACTTAATGAAATAAATATTGGTATTTTCAACAATTACGTCAATAATTCTTCATCAAAAAACGTTTCCAACAATCTATAGGAGTATTTTTTCTTTAGATCGAGCAGTTACTCCGGGTAAATGAGTTACTATATTTCGTGTTCTTGTTTTAACGTTTTTTGGTGGAGTCATTTGACACTTAGTATTCCCATTTCTTCTTAAATACCATGGTCCAGCGTCTACTTCTTCATTTTCGTTATCTGATAACTTTTCCTTCGTGTCAGATTCTTGATCTGGGACTTCATAATTGGTGATATCTTCGTCTATGTGCTCATCATCATCAAGTATCTCTTCGCCTGTCTGAACTTCATCATGCAGAGCTTGTTCTGCTTCACAACTCCACATTTTAATATGCTACAGAAAGAAAAATGGTTGCAAAAAACTATACAAAAGTTCTACATCCTTACCTCATTAACTTATACCAAAAATAAAACAATAGTTACACAATAACAACTTTAGTAGTCGCAAAGAGGTCTCTCAGACTTTCAGTGCTGCTAATTCCCGAAGTAACATAACAAACTGGTGTGAATTGGTATCAGCCAAAAAAAAAGAGCATACCATATCGCAAGGTATCGAAAACGACCGAGCATAATAGCCAATGATTTTCATGAGATCTATCTGAATTTAGAATTTCCAGATCTGTGAGCCCCTGCGACTGCCGTAAGGTTAACTACAGATTTTATCACCCACTTGAGAAAGAGATGTGTACTCATATGTACTGCTGATGAAACATGGCCAACGGTGATATTCCAATACAAGATTAAGGCATGATGCAATAAAATTACAAGACGAAAAGTAAAAATTATTGAAAGTATTAAAAAATACGTAGAAGTAAAAAATTTTCTGTTTAAGTTATTAAAAGTTATTTAATTATTTCCAAAGTATCATGTTATCATGTAATTTTAATATAATTACCTTTCCTACCATCACACAAAACAAGAAATATAGTGTTAGTTAGATGAGCGTGCAAGAAGTGCATAAAAGACTATAAAACCATGTATTACTCGAGAGATATAATGTGGTGGGTAGTGCAAAATATAATAGGAGAGTTAAGTTCCCAACCCTTCCCCATTTAGTCCTTTTACAAAAAAGGATATTAGTGATTCAGATTAACTGTAAAAAGTCTGGAACAGGACAGAATATGTTATTTTATACAAATATTTATTTAACATTAACGCCCTATTAGTTAAGGTGCTTCCTAATTTAAACAAATAACTTTTATAAAAAAAAAAAAATCTAAATTGCAATTGTTTTAGTAGTTAATTAAGTCTGAAGACAGGGCGCCAAGAATTGAGTCCGAGCAATCAACTTTTTGCAGGCATACCGTAATTTTCAAGGTGTGTGACGTTTCGCGTTAACATAATTTTAAAGATATATAAATCTCAGCGCTCCCACACTTTGTACTATATTTTCTTAGGTGTAATTTAATCTTAAGGTGAATAAATATTTTTTTTTAATTCAAACGGGTAGATAAGTACAGCACACTTTAAGAGAAATAATTATAATTAATTATGATTCAAAGGTGTTTTATTTAAGTTTTATTTAATTATAGAAAATTTTAATATAAAAACAGGAGTATTTATTTAGATAGGAAGAAGAAATGCGGACCAAAGAAAAATGTGATTAAGAGAAGCTGCCAAATTTAAAGAAGAAATAGTAAGTCACATACTTTAGCGGTGAACATTAAAATTAAATTTTCTCTTCTATGCACGCACCCCTTTAAAAAGCGTAGTCATGAGTGTCAATACTTATTATCACTGGAAAAGACGACACTATTTAAAGGGGAAAAACATTTTAAAATAACGGTTAAACTAAAACAAACTTGAAAAATACTAAACCGACATAAATTTTTTTTAATAGTGCAGTAAGCAGATGTTTAAAAAGATAGTTGCTTGAAAACAAAATCATAATAAGAAAGTACGTTGTGTATGATGTTAAACTGTTAACGCCAGAAAATCGTTTTTAGTTTATCTTAGATACGTTTTTAATAATATTCTTGACTCCAAAAAGAAGGAACATAAAAAAACTAACCCCGATGCATCTGATAACTTTTGTTGACAATCCTCGGAAGACATACTATTGGAGAGCATCTATAATGGCTGACGATTGAAGCGTTGCGGTTTAATAACATATTTCGTTCAATTCATGTAAGTATGATAAAAATAATTAGGCTTGCTTTATCTCAAAGTTTCAGGGTTTGTGTTGAACAACAGCTTTTAAACTAAAGCAACGTCCATATTATTCGAATGGTGCAGTTTTAGACTTAAAAGTGCCAGTATCTAAGACGAACCGAGAGTGGATTTGTGCAAGGGTTATTTAGTAGAGAAGAAATTTTGGTTTACAATTTTTTGCCGTGGACATTACTTAAACTTACTTTTGCAAGAGCTCGTTCCAAGTACTTCTCAGCCTCAATAGGGAAAAGTTTTTTCTAAGTTTTTTTGCTTTATAAAAAGTGCTTACTTTTTTTTATCTTAAATTACAATATCTCAATAGTCTACATTTTTACTATAAAATGATAGATAGTATGATTCATCTTTTAGGAAAGGGAAATCATTTAGATATTATTGAAATAGTCTAAAACGTGGTTATATATAGCTAGAGAAATTACAAAGATTGAAATTAATAACCTTTTTTTCTTCCGAGAAAACTCTAATCTCTAATCCCTATGTATTCTACATTTGGAAACGTTTTTACCTTTCATAACCAATTAGTGGTTTTTTTTGAGAAAGCCTTTCTCTGTGGTAACGTGCCCTGTTTCTTGTAACGCTTTAAGATTACTTATATATCTTTTTCTACTCCTATTATGTAATTCACTTTCACCTTATATAAGCTTTATAAATAACTTTGGTTTTCTTATAGTTTAGTATTTAAATTTTTATGGGGGACCATAAGTCTTGGACGCTTTTACAGAAGTTTGGTGACTCGTTACAAACTGAAGATCTTTCCGAAGGTAACTTTTATTTAACTATTTACCTACATAAAGTTTTGTGTAGTATATTACACTACAGCCGACGTAATTTCCGCTGTTGAATTCGAGTTAAATGGCGATTATCTGGCGACCGGAGACAAAGGCGGAAGGGTGGTCCTTTTTAACTCGACTTCTTCTAAAGTAATATGTTATTTATGCTAAGTTTTTAATTTTTTTAAAAGAGAACAATAATTTTACCTTATTTTACTATAGATGGGGCCTATTTTTAATTTTTATGGCGAATTTCAAAGCCATGAACCTGAGTTTGATTATTTAAAAAGTCTTGAGATCGAAGAAAAAATAAATAGTATTCGCTGGCTTAAAAAAAGAAATTTAGCTCAGTTTTTGTTATCCACAAACGGTATTACAAACTTAAGCTTCTAGAAACTTTTAGTTTTATCATTTATCTTTGTGTTCTATTTTTCATTATCGCTCTTTCCCGTGATTTTTATAAACATTATGTTTATTGCTAAAAGATAAAACTATAAAACTGTGGAAAATTTTAGAGCAATCTTTAAATTCCTCAGGCCTTGCGGATTCTGCAGGTTGATTAAGGGTGGTATGGCTACGTTTACTTACTTACAACTGAGGCAACAGATCTTCACAGGGATTCTGTTAATGCTTCTTCTGACGATCAACTGACTTCTAGTACGCCTTCATGCTCAGGTTTTTGTTATTTTAAGTTTACGCTCGTCAACTTGCAAATTAATAACTTCTAAATAGTATTTCCCAGAAGGATTTACGCACACGCCCACCAGTATCACATCAATTCTATCTCTTTAAACAGCGACGACGAGACATTTTTGTCTGCTGACGATTTGCGCATCAACTTGTGGCATATAGAAAGCAATAAGGAAAGTTTTAACATTGTAGACATCAAGCCGCTAAATATGGAGGTTTCCTAAAGCTTTTGTATCTTTATATGCTCCTTTCTCCCATTTGTGCCGTAGGAGCTAACAGAGGTAATAACTCGTGCTGAATTTCACCCTCAAGCATGTCACTTATTTGCATATAGTACTAGCAAAGGTTTACTTAGTTTATAAACTTATATTGTTTCCCGCAAAATAGCAATTTATTAAAGTCTTTAACACTTCCCTATTCGCTTACTATTTATAGCTGGTATGTAGCTGGTTTAAAGTTATTTTTTGCAATTCCTGTTCTTTTTCTATAGAATTAAAACTAAGTCAACGCACAATTCGGCTATATGTTTTTTAGAAGTGTGATTATTATTGTTAAGTAACAAATTTATATTACCGTATTTTTATTAATAACAGTTTCTTACATGTTTCATTCCAATATTAAGTCAAGGTAGATTATTGAATAAATGAAGAAAATGTTGTTAACTTGTAGAAAACTAACTTATAATTTTAAGGGATTATTAACCTCTGCGATATGCGAGACTCCGCCTTGTGCGATAGAAATTCGAGGGGTATCTGTATATTGTATAGATGATCAGTTAACCGTAATAGCAAGGCCTTACACTCTAAAGTTTTTAAACTACAGGAAAATACTAATTCTCGCACCTTTTTTTCCGAGATAACATCCTCGATATCGGATTTGAAACACAGCAGAGATGGTGCGCCTTTAACCTTCTGCAAATACTTTTACTCAACACAAGCAATACAAGGGAGATTCTTGCTTTCTCGTGATTACTTGACTGTCAAAATTTGGGATCTAAAGAAGGAAGACAAGCCCGTGGAAACCTATAACATTCATGAAAGGCTTAATAATAATCTATGCGAATTGTATGAGAATGATTGCATATTTGACAAGTTTGAATGCTCTTGGGATGGCAGCAACCAGTGCATCTTTTGTACGTTTATGTCTTTTGTATTTGTCTCATCACTGCTTTACCACGCAGATCCGTGGTGACGGGTAGCTATGATAATATTTTCCGCGTTTTCGGCACAAAAGAAAATTTAGAACTTTCCATCGAGTCCACACAGGTTTTACTTTTTACTTCATTTCTGTCTTATTTTTTATAAAAGGAATAAATGCGTGAACCAGAGGGAACTTTTTAGCAACGTTAACTTCAACAAGAAAATCTTGCATACCACGTGGCATCCGGCCGCCGATTTGATTGCACTCGCTGCTGCTAATAATTTGTATACGTTCGTCAAACCGGTGCCGGGATAATAGTTTATGAATTTCGAGTGAATAGGAAGTGGTTTTTAATATTTGTCTGCGACTATCTTTTTTTTTTTTTAACTCTTGTTTTTGAAGTCGCTTTTTGTTTTACATAAAAAAACCTTCATTAATAACTTTTGGAAGTTTATAATAAAACTCTGCATTAAAAATATCGTGTATTTTGTGATGAGGATTATTATTTTGTCCAGCTGTTTTATAAAGTAAACAATAACCGTCATTGAATGTATATATAGAGGTGAGGGTTAGGGTTGAGGGTTGGCTTTAATATTAATTTTATTTTGATTAAGTGTGAGCTCTGGTAGTAATTTATTCGTTAGCAATTCTATTTGTATTTGCCTCTGCTGTTCTTAAGTTCCTGCCTCATTTCGCCGTAGGATCACCTCTTCAGACTAGCAAACGGTTTCGTAGTTCAACTTATGCTTATTTGCTCAAATATACTGGCCAGATTTCTTGGTGTTAAGGTCCCAGCTTAAAAAAGGGCTAAAAGTAAAGCTTTCAAGTCATTGGTCAAATTTCAATTTCTAAGAAATAATTACTTTTTTATAATTGCGTAAAATGTAACTTGGCGTTTAACTTCTTATTTTACATGTAGCACTTAGTCGCTCAATTTAATTTTGTTGTCGAAATTAATCTTTTTCATGTATTAGTTCTAAATACTCGCTACGCGTAGTTCTCAGAATTTTACTATAGCGTCTTAATTATAATTAATAAGGAGAAAGGTAGAACTAGAACTCTTAAATCGTTACTTCGCTGCACTCGGCAGATTATAATCTCGAGCGATTACGTCATTTGTAAGTTTTATGAGCTCCTCAAACGCGCGCATTTGGTTAACGTTCATGAATTCTAATATAACCGACTTTAAAGCGCAATCTTGAAATTAAACTTTATTTGGATGCGCATTAATCTGTTAATCTTCAGCAGAGCTCAGTTAACTGAAAATGCACATAGTTAGCAAAGGAAAAAATTTAATTGATTAGAACTTACTGACTTTAAGCTAATCTCTAACGAAGAATAGTAGTTAGGCGGCTGTACTAAAAATGTTATGGTAGTAACTTCTCATTTTGCAATTTAGAGTCCTTGACTAAAGGAATAAATTTGGGTAAAAAGTAAAAGAAGTTGTGGCACAAGAGAGCTAGAATTTTATGACTTAAATTTTCTAGGAATATGCGTGTACTACTTACCTATATATAAATTTGACCAGAAAACAGGATATGCCAGATTAGATTATCTATGATGTTATTTATACATATTAAAAATATAAACATAGTAGGAGTTACGCCTTCGGATTGTTTTCACCAAGGGGTGATCCTTCAAAACTAAAAACTGAGTTATTGACTTTTTAGAGGGGCATACGCCCTTTGGTGTGTTGAAAAAGCTAACATTGCTTACTACTAATCTTCTTCCGTATTAGTGACTTTTCAAAGCTATTTTAACTTTATTCTACCTCACTTTAACTTATCAATAAGCCCTGGGAGAAAAGCAAAGTTATTGTCTTCCTTAAATTAGTCTAGGAAGTTGAAGAATTTAGCCAAAAGATTTTTAGATACTGTGATTATTGAAGACCTCCATTTTGTTTTAAAGATTTGAACAAAACCATATCTACACACAGATTAGCAGTATTTCTTAATTTTTTTTTTTTAAAGCAGTCGCTCTTTATTTCTGCAAAGTTTTTACTACATACACATTTTAAGTGTGCTATATACTATTGCTAAAATATAAACCTTTCAGCATACTTATTAAATTAGTTTTTGGCACGGAGCCAAAAAAAATTGCTATATCTGATTTACTTATTTCTTTGTCTCGTGAAAAACACTATTAGCCAGCTTCCTTAGTGCTGTTAGTAGATAAATTGACAGTAGGTAAGGAAGGAGTATATGAAGAGAAAGTGCGGTAAACGTGTAGTCAAAACATACCTAATTTACTCTGTTCCTAAATCTTAATAAATAATTAATTAACTTATATATTTTTTTTTACTCCCCCTCCTCCCCCCCAGTGCAAAAGCAAAGAAAGGACTAATAGAGATAACAAATTAATATGCCAACAACATTAATAATATATTTAATAATAAATACTACATTTAAGTATATATGTATACACAATTTCGTTAGCAGTATATATAAATTAAACATTTAATAAATAATATTTTTAATATGCTTGTAGAAAAAACATTGAAAATATAAAAACTGTCAATTCAAGTAGAGGAAAAACTAATTATATTTCAAGATAGAATTATATAAGGGTCAACTTTTCACATCCTTCATTTTAATAAAAAGTTTAATAAAATATATTATAGCAAAAGTATAGCAAGAAATAGATACTGAATAGAAATAAAAAATTACTCAATAACACCCAAAATAATTAAGAAAAGGAAGTATACAAGATTAATCCAAATTTAAAAAGAATATTGTATTATTGTAAACATTTCACAATAAAGCAAAAACCGAGTAAATCGAGTAATAAGCTAAACATATTAGTATTTCATTAACAAACAAATTTAAAAGTTAATACTTTTTAGTAAACAGCAAGATAATGAGTTACTTAAAATTCTCATTTCAAAGCTGACCACTTCAGGTATGTATAATATACTAAATAAAATTGTTAAATATTTTATATCACTGTTAGTGAGTAATTAACAAATTCTGAAATTTAAAAAATAACAGTAAAAATGTCCGCCCGAAGAAAAGCACATACCCATAGTACATAGTACACGGAAAAAATCTTTGTACTGTGTAAAATCTATTCCTTTCTGCGCTTAGCCAAAGGTGAGCTGTAGCGCCTAGAGCTGATTTGTTATTTGAGAGAGAGGAAAACCAATCTCGCACCCGTGAACAGCTTCGGGCTCTCTCTCACAGAGTACAAATAAACTTATTCCATATTTTTAAGGCTAACTAAATCTTCAGATCGATAACTTGGCTCGTAATTAAAAAGTTTAAGTTAAAAAAGTAGACATTAATGTTGGTATAAACTTGAATGACATAAATGGTTAACCAGTACCCAGTATATAATATTTTAAATGAAGCTCCAGTGGACAATTGTTAAAATACATGAAGGAAAACTATACAAACCATCCGATTAACGCAATGGACTAACCTCGAAGATTTTCAACAAAGAAGTTGTTTCTTCCCATTCGTTTGTAATTTAATTGCCATTGAAATTGCGACCTCTGCTATTCTATATAGACTCTTACTTGAATTAAATTAAACAAAGCTGAATGAAAAGCATCCAGAGAAAAAGATGTTTTCCAGCGCTAGTACACAAATTTGTCTTCTCTTTAATAGACTTTTTACTCTTTAGTTCAACTAATATGAAAAAATCTGTTATTTTCATTTTTACGAGAATAGTTACGCCCCCATATCAACATTGTATCATCAGAATTTATTGGTTTATGGGTGATAAGGTAATAATTTATATATACAACACTATACCGAAAAATAGAGAACCACTGCGTGGGAGTTGAACCCAGACCTTGATTTTAAGCATCAATGCCCTAATTTTTTGAGCTACGAACTAACCCTGGTTAATGATTTGAGCTAATTAAACCTCTTTTCTGTGAGTTTTGTAGTTTAGGATCAAAAACCGAATACTACTCTTCCGGGTATTTATGAAATTTAAAGCAAAGCGAATTTAGTTTGTGTCTCTCGTTTTACTCCCGCTAGCATTTTAGAAAAGTTTTTTCTCAAGTTTTTTTACTATTAATCATTTTCAATGGTTCAATTGTATAGTTAAGGCTATCTACCTATAATTTGTGTACTTCTTGCTTCTGTAGAAAAATTAACGATCTTTGTTATAATAATCTCGTTTAAATTGGTAAAAAATTAAGCATCTTTATTGAAAGTTAGCTTGGGCTTGTTTTGCGTGGTGTAACCATTTTGTATTTTGTTTCGAACTCCCGCCTAATATTCAGTAGAAGCAGTTACTTCAAGCTCATTTTTATAGTGCAAAAGTTGTCAGTTTCTCGTACCACTGGCAACGCGTAAATATAAATTTTAAAAAAAAAAATTGTTGAGCGTATATAACAAGTTTTCAAAAACTCTATTTAATCAAATTCACCATTCATCATAGTCTCCTTACCAACAATAAAACTTGTAATGTTGTAAGTCCGGAGGTCGCGCGAAATATGCTTAACTGTGCGTGACTGGTATATACTTCACGTATGAAAACTAAAACTTTATTTGCAAAGTAAAACTTTGGGTACTTGATAGCGTTAATAACGAACCAAAGTTTGAACGAGGTTTTCTTTTAAGCGAAAAATATTAGGAGCAATTGGTTGATGTATGATGCTTATTGTGTAATTTAGTCAGTGAGGAAAGCTGAAAAGCAACAGCTACAAATATCGTGTGTACTTATAACAAAAATATTTTAGTGCCCACATATATAAGTCAAAATCTTCAACCAGGGTTATAACTTTTTGTTTAGCGTGAAAATGCCATGTTCAACTTATTTTAACAAAAACCAAGCAATGTTTTAAAATAACTTACACTAAGTAAATAATACTAAATATTATACTCAGTTTTTCTATTTTAATGACTTTTCTCTTTAAAGGGGTTTATATATTGCCCATTGCCCCGGCTTTTGAGTTACAAATTATTTATAAAAACTCGTTAAGTTTGCAGTGGTCTTTCATAGCACTTTTTTTAAGCCAATAACACGAATTAAAAAATATACCCTCTGGTGCAGTAAACATTCAGTGCGGTCAGAGTCTAAAGGAGAAAAAGAGGAGAAGAGTCTCACTGCCAGGTAGAAGAAGAGCATTTGTATTGGAAAACAGACAGTGAACGAGACTAAGAAACTCTAACATAAACATTGGAGGTGTTATAGGCTGTGGTTAACCGAAAGTTTAGGGCCCCTTGGCTTTAACTCAGATATTCAGAGATATATAAGCAAGAAGAGCATTGGAAAGAACTAGGCGTAAGACTCACTATGAACTACACTTTTGCATTATTTTTTTGTTTTCTATCTTTAAAGTCAGTTGTGAGTTTTATAGAAATGTATTCACTCAACCAATTATATAAAGTTTCCCGTGGTATGAACACAAGATTTATAGAGTTTAGTCCAACAGGGTCACGTTTTTATTTACCTTTCCGCTCTCTATATATATTACCTCTATTAAAGCAGAAAGATTTAAACTATTTTTAAAAGGTTGCGCGAATTATTAACCTTTACGCTAAAAAGTATAAGGCGACCTGTTAATAATAATTCACATAAGTATAAAGATTTCAATGCCAAGTCTCACCATTTGGCTCTAACAAGTTATAAAAAAAATTAATTCTAAAAAAATTAAGAAACAATTTAGAAAGTAGATAGATAATTATGAAACCTACGCAATTCATTTGGAATGATTAAATAAAATTTTACGTAATTTATCTGCAGATATGTAAGCCTCTAATTTGATTTATTAAATTGTAACATATTTGATGAGTTTCTATGATGACTTACTCTCCATGTGGTGTTTCAGATATTGTAGGCTTATTGAATATGATATAAAATATTAGTTTTGAACATATAGAATAGGCAAATAAATCCTAGACAATAGCGTAGACGAGGCAGACAGTAAAATAACATCAAAAAGCCTTTATTTTTTTTGCGAAATAAGGAGAATACCCCCGTCTATGAGTTTTGTAAGTGGACCAGCGTACATTCTTAAAAATATTGTCGTGTTGTTATAAACGAAATACAAGTATTGTCTTTAATTTAGGTCGCTATACAATGTTTTAAAAATCACCATTATGTTATAATATTGTATATAATGATCAAATTTTTTTTTGGTTGTCTAACAAAAAATCAACTTTTGCAATTAGCAACTAAGAAGGCACAAGAGAAGCTGGTGGTATCCTTAGAGGTACATGGTGGGTAAGTATATAATAGCTGTAAGGAGACCGCCAAGTATTATCTCATAGTGAAGGCCACCTACTCCTTTTCCTCTTGCAAATATCCAAATATACTTTTGTTTTTAAAAATGAAACTGTGCAAGCCGTTTACTTTAAGCTTTACAATTTTCTTTTCTTTTTTAATAACTGATTTAGCGTCAACAAGAGTATTTTTAACTTTTGAACTGAAAAAGAATCGAGAACTTTGTTTCTTTGAACCCGCTAAAAAAAGTTATAAATACGTAACCTTTTTTTGGCATATAATTCTTAAGTTTTAAATTAACTGTATTATTATTATCATCTTTTTAAAAATAAAAAGACGAAAGCGTTTCTTTCGATTGGTACAGCATTAGTGACGAAGAAGAAGATGAGAATTCTATTACTACTAGACTTATTGACCCAACTGGCCAGACAGAAGTATTTCATTCTGAAATTTCAACTCAAGAAAAAAGAGTCAATCAGGAAGGAGTATATGAAATTTGTTTTCTTCTTACCCGCTTGTTAGTTTATTAAATTTAATGCTTATAATACTTCAGTGATCTGTAACTTTCTCAATTTTTTTTTTTTCAGAAAAAATGTTTGGCTCAGCTTAGATATCTTTAAAGAAGAAGACTCAAACTTCTTTGAAGACAACAAAAAAAGTGGCGAGGTTACAGTCTTATTAACTTTATATGTAAATGTTGGTCAACTTTTCTTTCCTACTAATTTTTTAAAATTATTTATTAGGCTATATTTGAGATTGGTCAGCTATACATGCAGAGCCTTTATAACCACTTGTCTCAAGCGCTGAGGACTTTAAACTACTTGCGTAACAGGGAATTGCACCACCGGGACATCGCTGAAAGGTATCAATTTTGCTAGCGCTGACAAAACTTATTGCAAAAGAGCCTGTGAGTTGTAACACTAAGTTTTATTTGTATATTTGCCATGAATATCTTAACTTATACTTAAGATCATGGACAATTAGGTAGAGTTAGTTACTTTCCTACGAACCACTTTAGGGTCTGAGTGCTAATTTGTATGTAATATTTGTTGCTCGCTTTGAAAGTATAACACCACTCAAATTAAGTCACTTTTGTTATTGTAAGCACCGCCAACAGAGTCGTATTGTGGTCTTTGGTAGAATGTCTCGTTCTTCTTAGTGTTGCAGGTATATTTCAATATGAGGTTTCTTTTTCTTTTTAATCATTTTTAAAAGGAGTACAAGTTTATCTCGTTCGCAGGATGTTTAGCAAATCTGCAAGCTATACCAGTTTTAAATAACTTTTACTGCAGCTTAAAAACTTTTTGTTCTTGCAACTTTATATAAATGAGAATATTTAATGCAGTGTAATAAAATACTTTGTTGAACTGTTTTTTTTTTATATTATCCCAGATTAAGTGACTTGAGAAGTTTATGGGTCTGTACCGCTGTAACAAAATATAAGCGTGCTTGAGACTTTCAATCTTTTTAAACTTTTTTACGTTAAAAAAATAGAACTTAAAGAAATGCTGATACTTTTTTCCATTATGACAGTAGGGCTATTAAACCTTAAATATAGTTTATTAACTTTATGCTATATCGCTTAAAGCAGAACTCGTCAACTTGGTTACCTTTAAATACCGTGCGTGATTCTATTAGGAGTTCTACTTGGAATTGTAGTGCTCTCGACCCATTCTGGCTCGGTAATCTCTATGAAACCCTGGAGCTAACGTCAAGACTATTTTCTGCCAATGAAACTTCAACTTTAGGGCTGCTAGAGTTTTTTAAGTACAAATAGCTTCTATTACAAAAGTGGTTTAGTTAGAGGAGAAGAAAGTCTGACTCTTAACGGCTAATTTAGGAACTTAACAGGTTATCCGCGCAACCTCCTTTGTGTAAGTAAGAGTATCACGAAAGATATTGTTAATAGAATAAAATTGTTCCAGCTCGCACTGAGAAAGTCTAGCTCAGTAATTTTCTGTGGACTAAAGTAAGCTGTGGTTAATTGAAAGGCGTAAACGAACTTCCAGCTTATTTGACGGTGCGTGTATGCAAGAGCATTAACACGGAGGTGAAATTCCGTGACTTATACAGGTCTTTGGGAGGTGCTCGCCCCCTCTAATCTTTACATTTCCTTGAAGGTATGATAGAGAGAATATGAGAGATAGCTCTAGTTCAAGGCAAAGAAAACCCATTTACGCACGGTTACAACTCCATTATATAGCCAAGGTTTTGGCTAACAAATTCCTATATATAAAACAGTCGCTTACTACTCTTGAAGATGCATAATCGCAGAGACGATGCAGTGTCCTTTGAAGCATAATCGGATAAAGTTAACAGTATCGGGTTCACTCTAATACCACCATTTCTATGGCTATTCATTAATAAAAGTACTTTTTCATTGGGTCAATTTACTTTAAGTTAATCTGAAAGGTCATTAAGTTACCAATTTCTGAGTTTATATGTTAATGAAAAGAAATTTCTTTTCTAAAAATGCTCTACAAAAAGGCGGTTTCAGAGTGCACAACCTGACCGTTATAATTAAAAAATCAGGCATCCATATTAAAAAAAAAAGGGGGGGGAGGGGGGTGGAACTGTATCAATTTTCAAACCAAACTTGAGCGCTAAGTTAATCCATTTTAATACTACCGTAAATATATTTTACAAATTTAAGAGAAGAAACGAAGCCAACAAAGCCCAGTATCAAAAAAATAGAGTAGCCGAGCACAAAAACATGTCCGTAGAAATGTGCAGCCTGGAAAGGTCCTAATGAATAATAACTGTAAAACCTACCCAAGCCCATTCCCCGTCTGAAGGAGACACTGAAAGTACCGTGCATGCGAGACCAGAAGTGGTAATACCAAAGAGAAAAGATGAGTAGCAGCACACTTGAAAACCTGCATGGAAAGACACGTGTTAGGGCATAGACCACGTGGTTTCTTGTTATAGTAACAGGCACCCAGTGTTGAAGATGGACGGCCACCACCAATGGTAGTCCTCAGAATCCAGTCGGGAAAAAACCAAGTATATCGAAACAAACTGTTTTGTAGATAATAATCTTATTTTTACCCCAAAACTTCATTTAGAGCAAAAAAGTAGTAACTAAAAGAATAATAAAATAATAATACAGCTGTATTAACAAGCGCGAGTGTGAATACAACTGCCAGGAGGCCATAAGAGAGGCCACTTTGTCGACCCCAAATGTTTTGGAAAATACAGAACAGTCCAAAAAGGAGTGCTCTAAAGGGAAGTGGTAAAAACACAAAAACCAGGAAGACCTTGAAACCTACAGGAAAGGGACTACACCTCCCGCCAAAAGGTAAAAAGCACGAGACTTGGACCTTCATAAATGGAAATGAGAAAAACAGAGGAAAGAGGCAGAATGAAGAGAGGAACCAAGGCAACTTGGGCAGCTCGCGCGGTATAGTGTTGGGCCTGCAGGGAAAATCGAAAACTTTAGTCGTTCTTCTACCAATTAAACTACCGGCCACAGTCAGCGGAAAGCCAACTGAGAAAATAATTTTAGTGAAAGGATGTCTTTAATAATTGGAATGTACCCAAAAGCCACAGAATAACTAGAAGAAGGACACTCGAGTAGTGCAAGGAGGGAGTTATGCCGTAATACAGGGAGAAAGAATACATAACACACCAATCCAGAAACAATGGGCCTGCTGACAAATATTTGCAGTCGCATACTTATTTTTGGGTAACTCTTAACCTATAAACAGCAAGTTGGTGGTCAGTAAAGTTCGTTTCCAGTATGTGCCGCCAAGTTGTTTATAAAAGTACGAGGAGATTGTTCCAGAAATTACTATAACAGTTAGCAGTTTGTCACATACAAAGTGGTTAAGAAAAGAGAATTCTTACGCGAAGTTAATATATAAAGCACGAGTGTCATGCGCTGTAGTTCAGCATAGTAATAAAGGCCACGCTCTCTAAGCATAGCCATAAGAAGAAGAATACAGGTGACACTTAGCAGTTGGGCCCCATTTCCTGAAAATATTCCAAATATATTACTCCAAGAACGTCATGTACTTTTAATAACTGCTAACGCATATAAAAGCTCTGAAAGTCAGCGCTATTGCCCAAAAAAAATTATAAATGATAAATTTTGTTAAGCTGCATATTAGGATGCTTTCACTTGCAAAAAGTTAATAAGAGACCCAATATGGCGCAAAACAGGTGCAAGTTTAGGGGCGGACGAAAGACATCTCCACTAATGAGCTTCCATCCCTGTTCATCTAGCACTTCGCAAGATAAAAGTTCTTTAGAACTGCTACCAGCACTGTTGAATATTAATAGTACGTCCAGAAAATTCCGAATCTTCAATAGAAAAACGCACAAAGTCGCTTTTCAAGCCGCGAAGAAGAGTTAAAGCAAGAAATAAAGCTAGAAAAACAACTATAATAGTGCCAGGCACAGTAGAGAGCCACTGTAGCTGCGGAAAAGTAGAGATTCCACAGTCAATAAAAAACAGATAAAAAGAAATACTTCCAATGGTCGATAATTCCCAACGGACAACGCCAGATCTTCATAATTTTTGCTGATAATAAAATGAAACAATCATACAAACGGTATTAAAAAAAAAAGGTTGATAGTTTATTAAAACTAAAATAATGAAGAAAAATTGAAATCTAAGCTAATTTCTCAATAAATACAATAAAATTTTTATAGTCTTTCAGTAAGTTTACTTAGTCTCGACCCAGTAAACGCTGTAAAATTGGTCCGTTAAAAAATCTTCCTGCGCCACTGAAATTCCTTCGGGGAGACGGAAAGGAGTGGAAACATTTACCGAAGCGTAGATTATCTAGTTAATATAAAGATTAAATTTATTATACTATTTAATATAATAATAAATAAATTTTTTCGGGGGTACAACCTGATTTGCACGATAAAATACGGTAAAGTTGTAGTGTCGATATAAAAACATTTCTTTTGTATCGCTTTCTAAATTTTTTTTTTAAAAAAGATCTTGTTAGTGGTATATTTATTGCTACTTAAACTTCAAGTATTACAATGTTAATAAATTTCATTTCTATTAATTGTCGTAAGTTTAAGCACAAGCTTTTTAAATTATAAAGAAACACATAAATAAATAAAAGAAAGTTACAAGGACTAAATAATCGTTGTCTTAAATACCTCCAGCCTCTTGAAATTCTCCAAGAAAATTACTTAAAGGAATATCATCTTAGAAAATAATAAAAATTTTAAAACGGTTAGCACGATAAAAAAAACTTTGAAGTATAGTTAAACAAAAAACACTTCACCAAAAGTAAAACAAACCAAGAATAAGATGGTATAACTTTATAAATAATATATACCTTAAAAAGTAACTATAATACCTATATAAATCTTAAAAAGATAACGATGATCAACAGCGTTTCTAAGTAATCTGATATCTTCTGTTTTTAATGGCAAGGAGCAAATCTTCTCCCTCTCAACAAAGCCTATAGTGATTAGTGAAGTTTTTATTACCGTTTTTTTAATATAAAAATTTACCCAAAAATTTTATATTATAAGGAGAATTTGAAAGTTGTTCTCCCGTAGATATAAGCCCTCAGAATAAAACATTTAAAAACTTATGCAAACTTCCATAAATGAAAGGTAAAAACCAAAAGTTGTTTTCGTTTCTATAATTGGTGGCTTACAAAGAGGAAGATCATAGTAGTTGTATCTTTCAAAGGGATTAAAGTATGGCCCGACCTGAAAATTGTGCATAATACATACATTATATAATACATACTTTTAAAAAGACTAGTATCCACAATATAATTATTCTCAATTTCTTTTTTTTTTAACCCAATATAACTTACGGTGTTAACGTAAACTTCAACAGGATCCCCTTTAGTGTAAAGGTTATGCGTAAGAGGGTTTACAAAAGTAAAAAACACTTGAAAAATTAAATAGAAACAAGGCAGCCATGAAGTCGGGCACATTCCTTGCGCGCTATGATTCTGCGATAACAACATAACCGGAGGATATGCCACCGCAAGAAGTATTTGAGGGCAACGGCGAAACTATCACTTTTCAGATGCAAAGCTACCCCGTGAACAACGTCGTTATTAAGCTGAAAGTAGCTTTTGGTAACAATGCCTGGTTTTAAAGCTATTTAAATTGGTTTAATAAACCAACAGCGATATAAGCAGTGCGTTAACCAAAAATCATTAACCTAATATTAAGACAACAGCTTAAAACGCCGAAAATGGTCTTTCTGTTCTAGAGCGCCATTTTTTCATTTTTTTTTATTCTTTTGAAACATAATGCATAAGTACCCCTGGTCTACTACTTCATCTGAATCGAATTAAAGGAAAAAAAATTTTTACTTTTTTTATTTTCCAAGATAAATTTGTCAATAATTTTACAGCAAAATATATGGGAGAAAACACTATCCTTGTTGTTCTACCTAAATTAACCTTAAACTAGATTACTACTATAAATTACCAAAAACCACATTATCAAACCCAATTCACTCTGTTATTGGGTATTGTGAATAGAATGTAGATATACATGTTATTTTTTGTTAAATTAAACTGCAATTATTTACAATATTAAAAAACGCACTCAAACATTAGTGAGACCCTTTAATCTGCTTCTGTGTTGGGATCTATTTGGGAGAACCCAGGGAAAATGAGATTTTTCATATGTTCGTCTGTTAGTACTGCCCAATACTTATTCTTAATAAAATTCATAGTTGAAAATGTTTGCTCACAAAAATAAGTCGGATTAAATCTGTAGGAAGTGGAGCGCAAAATCAATAAAATTTAAAAATTCTGTTTCGGAAAGCAAATTCTCAATCGAGGATAACTTAACTGGACAGGTTTCCAACTATTCCTTAAAAATTCTTTGCAATGCCGTTTTGTAACGTTAACTTCCACTTGGAGCTGAGTTGGAGAATAGCAACTTCGGTAGGTAAAATTGAAAAGGATTTGTGAGAAAAACTGCACATACATTAACATCCTATTAGAAATCGGTATATCTCTCTTCAAACGATTGCTCCAAGGTGAAACTTGTTTTTTCTTTTTTTAACTCCGTGCAGCCTTGGATATTTGTTTCTGCCATTTAGAACCAGAACGAACAAGGTTGGAAAAAAAATTAGTTCTGCCTTGCAAACGCTCATTTAAATTATTTAAATGACCATAATATCCGTCAAAAAAACTAAGCCCCACAAATAAACTTTATTTCTGAAAAGTGAGTATTCATCGGGAAATTGATTACTCTCTTCCAAATTCTTTCAAACTAAATTTCTTAAATTCCAAAACCTTTTTAGAGTTTGACCTCGAGAAAGTCAACGAATATTACAATGTAGTAGTAATGCACTCTGTTTCTCCATCACCTATGAATTTGTGAGAAGAAATTGGCAAAATTCCCTTTTATGAAGAGCCCTGACTCGAATGTGGTTGATACATCGTATCACAGGATTAAAAAAAGAACAAAAGTCCATATCCTAGGCTTAAATAAATTCTTGGTAAATAATGCAGTGGTATTTAAAAATTTTGCATTTTTTAAAAACCTTCTAACAAATTTGCAAACCTTTTGCCTACCCGGTTATTCCCGACCCTTTCCGTACCAATATATCCAATTTGTTTGATTATCAATTACATCTTTATTTTCACGGGAACACTTCTTTATTAGAAATTAGCAGCCGCCTATGTAAAAGTTCTTCTGTGATATCAGATTGTTTCCTGATCCAACTAATATAAATGCACCATTGTGCAGAATCTGTTATATCGCAGCTCTCGTTTAAAGCAAGAGAAAAGTAGGAGACGCGGTCATTCGTTAAAGTACTTGTTTATCAACCTCATTGCCCTTTCATCGACTTTTCTCATAATAGTATTTCTTAAAAGGACAATAACATCTACCATTCGTAAAAGTTTTAGCTCTGTTATGGTTTTTAGCTAAAATTTAATCTGACCAGCTGTAGAATAAACTTTCTTTCCTTTTGGAGTTGCGATTAATTTCGACATACCGTATTTAATCTGTTAGGGTTTAAATAAAAATACTTGTCCGCACGTTATTGTAGGTGACCATAAAGTTGTTTGCTCTATTACACCTCATAGATAAGAAAACTAATTAATGAAATATGGAAGGACTGTAGTATAACGAAGGCATGTTATTTATTTAGCTCCATTTTAAAATGAGTTTGTAGACCGATGATAGATGTATTTGGTTACGGGGCTTAGAATGAAAATGCTGAAAAATTTCAGTGGGCCTTACAAAGTTTACATGGATAGAAAATCTTATTAATAAACACTTGATTGCATTTCATGTTCAAGGACGGAAATGTATATATATGTAATGAAGCAATATCTTAAACTGGACGGAATGTAATCTGCGTGCCGTAAAAGAGCTTTTAGAACAACTAGTATCCCTAGAATGGCACCGTCACAGGAGTGACTGTAAGAAGCGTAAAATATATCTCTATCTTTATTTCATAGAAGCAATAACTGCATATAAAGTTATTGATGTACACAGTAATTAGGGCGCCCTTTTGTACCACGCACTTCTCATTCAGGAAACAAAAAGCAGGAAAAAGTAGATCTACCTAAGATGGCCTGCTGTCTATTTATGCTTGACTGAAGTGCTTAATTTATGCTCGCTATAAACGAGGTTACAAACGACTTAAATTTTTCAATTTTATCACCTTATATCATGTATATGAAATGAAATTATGGAAGGTATTTTATAGATAGTTAATTAAATATAGGTATAAGTATAATTTGTATATTTAAGAAATATTATGTAGTTTATGAAACAAAATAAAAAAGACAAGACAAAAAATATTAAAGCAAGTATTGACCGGTACTCGGGTCTATTTTTAGCCTTTCAAGTCCAAAAAATGCTTCCATATTTGTGTAAAAAATTTGATTGAACCAGATTAGTTTTAATAAATTGATTACTTTGGTTAATTTGTACCAAATTAATAAAATGGTGCAAATTATGTAATATGCTGTAGATTAATTAATAATTTCTCTTTTCTAGTAATTTTATTAATAGCTGTTTCTCACGTAGGTGACTGGTTTATTCACGGATCATTTCGTTTCCTATGTTGGCTAAGGATGGCTAGTAAAGAGCAATCAGGTTATAAGTTAAAATAAATTTAACGCATGGTTAAGAGGACCAATGCCCGTAGAAGTAGGGGCTAAAAGGGATTTGAGGTGATATGTTTGTGTGCAACAGCACAGGTGTATAATAACTGTGACTACGCACTTGTCCGAGACTAAAGATTTATCGGGTGTAGTGCGAATCGATTTTATAAAAGATACTGAATTGGCCTATTTCTTTTCTACTATGTTTATAGACGCCATAGTTTAAACGAAAATATTACGGAAGGGCAGTTATAAATAACACCTGTGAAATTTTAGGGGGTTTCTGTTTTGTGGTTGGCGTAGTTAAAAATTAATTATACTTATTTTTGTGTTCTATATTTCTTTTTTAACCGTGTGCATATATAGTATACTAGTAAATAGCAGTATTAGTAACAACACACATTCAGCCCTCATAGAAACGGATTAAACATGCATCATTACACAAGGCGCGGAGCATTTATCCGTTCAGTTAATCAGCCGACCCAATAGGTAAATCTGCCCCCGTACCTCTAAATCCGAGGAATATAGCTATTAATGTTGCTAATTAGTTAGTTCTTACCTCCATGGCTTTCGGCCGCAACTAATTGCTCGGATAGAGGCAGGTTCTTAGCTAACTTTGCAAGTCTCACCAAAGTTTTCATCCGAGTCGACAAGCTCTCCCTAAGCACTGTATCAGAATATTATGCTTAAAAAAGGCAACGCTAGTATATCCAGCATAAGCTTTTTTCTGAATCAAGTTCAAGGTTAATTAGTTAATTATCTGACCAGGATTAAAGCAACAAAAACCAATCGTAGGTTGAAACAAGTCCCGTTAATGGACACAAAGGCATAAGGCACAAGGCATGTTACCAAGAATAATGTTGCAACCTAAGGTACAGGTAAGGGAGGACTGCCACAGGATTTTCGCTTGCACCAGGTTTTCACAATTTTAGTGGCATACCTTTCGATACGATCGTTACGATCCTACAGCTTCCACAAGTACGTGACAGTACTGAGCCCCTTGAGTTCCAAAGGAAGGTACCACAAGGTTTTGAAATCATTACAGAGACCTCTAAAATCAAAAGTAAGACTGTGTTCGACGTAGAAGGTGACATGACCAAAGGGAGTGGAACCTGCATCCATCAAGTAGTCCATCTTGGGATGACAACCCATTGACACGCTTAGATCGAAACCATCGGGGTGCCGCAGGGATAACCCCAAGGCGAGACGCTACTATATAGGCACGATCGTGTGCGTTTACGATATGTACCTAGGTACAAAAAGCAATCCTCGCTTGCAGGGAAAATGTACATCATATAGTGAAAATTTCAAAGTATAGCTAACGGTCAAATGCAAATAAAGCTGCATAGCACTCCCATAAAGAGCACAACCTGCATCACTGCCGAAACGTATCTTTAAAGGATGACTGACGTCTACCTCGTGATGGTCGCTACTAAATGAAGGCGACCCAAACTCATGCACCGAAAGAAAGGGAGCACACGTGAGAAAGGGCGTCTAGAGATAAAGTTAACAAGCTTGAACCTCATACATCATGATTCTTGTGCTTAATTATTATAGCAAACGACACTAAATCATATAATTTGTAATAAACGACCCCAAAAAGATCAATAATATTGCTTCTTTCCAGAGAAGGATACTATATTTAATAAGTTTTTGGTAAAAGTTCTAAACCCAGTCCGAAGGTGTCGGCTAGGGTTGAACTAGCTTCTTCGTTAAGAAGGGTTAGTAGTTAAATTACAACATTGAATAAAAGAATCAATATAAGTTCGCCAGATTTTAGAGGTTTATAAAGCTATAAAAAAAGGTTGATAATAGTATATACTCCTACACTATTTCACAATGTATCATTCTAGATAAGAATACTAAAACAAGTATCGTCCCCTATATAAATTTAGAACTCTTAAAAATGCTAATAGGCGGCGGGAGCGATCAAGAGGGAAGAACCCTAGTGCAAACTTTTTATTAGCTAGATTGAACTAGAGTGCCTATGCAGAGACAAGTGAACAGGATATTACAATTATTTGTTCCTAATAGCACAATGCTTGTGTTGTACTTTTAATTATAATTAAGCTCCAAGGTCTATTACCAAAGTTGCCTCAACAGCTTTATTCACTATTTTAGCCAACTGATTAAGAAAGATAAAGTTAGCTAATTTTTAGGCCCGACTTCATGTGTTTTTTGTGTCTTCATGTTTTTGTTTTCCGTGTTATATGTTTTGAACTGGGTCTTAGGTGTTTATGTATACTGTGTTTTACCTTTTTTATAAATCTCTCAGCCCTGCAATATTTTTCTCTTCAAGGTTTGGGGCACGACTCTTCGTCCAATGCACTTTCTCAAGTATCGCCACTTAAGTTATACGACTGTAGTATGTGCAACGCACCAAAAGGTTACTTCACCCCTATGAAGAGTGTTGAGCGTTGTGTATGAGATTAATATTTAAAATACAACTTTATTAATCATGACACAATAAAGCAACAAACAGCATCGAAGAACAAACAAGGCGGACAGAGAAACAGAACAAGAGATCACTAGAACAGAATACGCAGCTCATACGAGAATAACAGGACAAAGCAGAACCTTGTAGCAAGAAAAGGATCCCAAACCATTAGAAAAAAAAACTACTCGGGTTCTCTTCGAGCGTGTAAAAGGTGAATATACGTGTGATGTTTGACAGAAAACTAATCACGTGACCTAATTAAAGTGTTAGGAGGTGGCGGACCTTAGGCTAGTTGGCTGTCAGCTTGATAAACAGTGTGTGGCTCGTTCCTTTTTCTCTTCTGTCCGTGTTCTTTCTCTCCAAGTATTCTCAGAATATTTAACTTTGCTGCCATAAGGTGACGTGAGTCTTAGTTATATAAATTAGTGGTACTGAAGAATATCAAGAATTTTCTGACACAAATTATATATAGATAACCTGTTTTACTTCCAAGATAGTAAAATGCGGTATTGACTTAAGACCACAGAACAAAAATTTTTATTTTTAACAGTGGTAATAAAAAAGTTACTCAACGCTTATAATGTCGAAATTAACCGCAAATCCTTAAGTGGGCGCTACCAGATGAACGCGATTAACCCGTTATAAGGGTACGCAAGTTCGACAGCTAAAGGCGGAAGCCTGCCTGCCCCCAGTGATGGAAGGCCCAGGTCGGGGATTTCCCGCTTTTCCAGTCCTTAGGGACAGTTTTTACAGCTTTATAAAGAGCGTACACTGTTGGACACCCATGCCCCTACTACCACAGAAGAGGGGAATTCAGATTAAGCGGCTTGAGGTCTCTTACGAAGATCAGACGTAGTATACCAGGGCCTAAAAAATATTTTGACATCTGGTACCTACTTTTAAATGAAATCAATTTATTAAAATTTTATATGTATATTACATTACACAATTAATTAGAACTGAAAAAGTATTACAAAATTCGTCCCACAATTTTTGCTGCTTTGCAGTGAGAGCTATGTCATTCACTTTGTTTTTTATATTACTCACTTTGATTTAACAAAACAAGTAAGGTTGATTTCGAATTTATTAAGCTAATCCTTTTAGCATTCATCAAAACTGTTTAATTTATGTGGCCTATTAAAATATTAAAGCCCTCCCTCTCAAGTGAATACAAACAGATAGATACGTTAACCAGTATACCATTATTAGTGTTTTTACTGCACCGCCTACCCTCCCGCTATTTAAGATAAGATTTTAACGCTGGAAAAGTATTTACTTGTTTAGTATTTAAAACCTTATTACAAAGTGACTTTCTGTACTCTCACTTTTATTAATGTAAATACTCTTAACGATAACTTTAAAGTTAATTAACAAAAGATTGCTTCTTAATAAATAAAGTTATTAAGTAAATATGTGCGATCCTTATGGCGATTTACTTAGTCATGTTTTAAACAATGGCGACGTAGCTGATGTTACTGTAAATCAAAGGGCTTTAGTCGATAAGATTTTAGCAAGGTACGTCGTTCTCCAGTTAATTTTCGCTCCTTGGTTTTTACTTTGTAGATATTCCTCCGAATTTACGGTGTACCGAGAACTATTACAAAACAGCGACGATGCCGAGTCGTCTGAGGTAGAAATAGAATTTTGCAGTGGTGATTCTCCAGCGCCTGCTCTACATTCGGGTTATTATAAAATCAATTGGCCTTTTTTTTGTTTAACTTCTATAAATTCACGTATTCTGAAAAGACCCAAACTGTGCTCATTTACCACCTTGTCACTCCATTATCTATCGTAACAACGGCTTGCCTTTCAACGATGATTCATGGAAGCGTGTCACGGTTATAGCCGAAGGAAATCCAGATCCAGAAAAAGTTTATTGACCTTATCGGTTATTATTCTTCTCATAATATTTTTCAAATAAAAAAAGTTTGGTTTCTTCGGAGTTGGCCTGTTATCCATCTTTTCTCTCTGCGATCAGCCCCTGTAAGTTGCAACTTCTATTTTTGAACCAGAAAAAATACTTTTTTTTCTCCTGCCGATTAACTCCTTTTATTATATAAAAGGATCCTTTCAGGTGAAAAAGTAATGGCTTTTTTATGGGAAGAGAATCAGCTCCATACCCGTTCTTGCAAAAATTCAGCTGGTAGTTTCTTCTTCTCTTTTTTTTGTAAAGATATTATAAAAACTTTAGAGTCGCGTTGGACAATCTTCTCTATGAAACTGAGGGAAACACTACCTTTTCCGCATCTACAGAACTTTGAAAAGTTTTTAAGTAACTGCTTAGCCTTCACTCGGCACTTAAGCAAGGTTGCTTATAATTTTTCATAAAGTTCTTAAAGTACATTCCGTTTGTTTCTTCTAAGATTTCAGTACTTTATAACTTTACAAAAATATTGGAGCTTGAAAAGAAAGTGGCTACTTCTTATAAAACAAACTTTTGTTTGAACCAACAGTAAATCTTTTTTTATTATAACTTTCTGTTTTAATAAAATCATAAAAAATAGAAGTCATAGCTTTCTCTCACTCTTTCTTCCCTCCGAAAGTAAAGACCTTCAGTCACCATCCGGACTTTTCTCTCTGAAAGACACAGAGATGAGGGAACTTCACTTAACTTCTACTTTTTTTTTGTCGGTTGTTTTTTTTGTTGTCTTTTTTTCCATAACCGACCTGACTATTATTATAAAGCCAGAAGAGCCGAAGCAAAAGTCTGTGGATTTGAGGATGGGCCTCACAACGGCTTCAGTAAATGCAGACAGAAAATTGGTGAACTTATTAACTTGTTTTTGAACGTAAAGCGCATTATATAAAGAATTTTTTAGATTTCTGAGATTGAAAGAGTTACGAAGAAGATACCGCCTTCTCAACTTTGCATTCAGCTCCTCTACGGCGGGTGTGCTGCTGTTCAAGACCACTTTTCGCTCGCACCGAAGCCTGTACATTGTACCACCGCAGCATTACTGTTTCTCTTTATATTTTTTTTTAAAAAAAGGAGGGGGAAGATACTACGACTCTTGCTAAAACCATCTCATTCCTCACTTCCATCTTTTCATCAACTGCAAAGAATCAAAGTTATAAATATTCACGTTATCAACGACTTTGAAAAAAGCTTCTTTAATAAAAATAGTTAAAATCCCTTCAAAAGAAAGCGACGACCTCTTATCAACTACGCTTCCTCTGTCTGGCCACGGAAAAGTTTTTATTGGTCGCCATATAGTTGTGTCTGCTTTATTTTATTAACTACTTCCTCTTTAAAGGATTTTCCACGCATCAGACTACAGGCGCTGGCTACCATCTGTCTTCCGCCTTCTATCCCACCGTAACCGTCCACTGTCTGGCATGTGGTCCCCCTCACCTCTTTATACGTGCAAAGGTGGAACGAGAGAACGTGGACTTTGTTGATCCTGCCTTGGCCCGCTGGAATAAAGAGCTTCTCTTCGCATGCGGAATGGTCGCCCGGCTAATTTATGAAGGTTAGATTTGAAAAAAGTAATGATTTTTGCTTCTCTGTATTACAGTAACAGAGGAATTTATTCGGCTGAGCATTCCAGGCGCCCTATTGGATGCCTATCAAAACTGGAGGACGTCCGAACTTTTAGCGAGTCATTATGCCGCTGATGGGCTACTTTCGTCTGATAATGAAGTTACTGGGCTTTTGCAAAGTTTCCTGCCAGTGTTTGCCTGCTTATTTATATATATTGCAGCTGTTCCGTCTTAGAAATGCCGTCCTCGATAGCGCCTCTTTTCTGTCATCCACTTTTCATCATCGAGTGACTACTCCCAGCGAAAAAGTGGGGGAGTACCTTCGCTCGGTTGCTGGGTTTAGTGGACTCCCTGCCTTGTTGTTTACATGTCATTATTTTTGAAGGGGTTTTTCTGCTCCTCGTTACCCTCACTGGCCGTATTTACTACAAACGGGGTCAGAATGGCGTCGCAGTCCAAACTTCCCTACCTCGGATTGGGTGCTCTTTGCCTTATACCCACGTGATTTCCCCCCCCCCCCTTTTATTGCTATGTTTGCAATCAACTTTAGAAAACTTTGTGAGACGCACTCGAGATGTCATCCCTTTAATATTTTATAAGGCACATTCGTATGCTTTTTCATTATCAAGTTAACCTTGCAGCCCACCATGCTTTTCGTTGGTAGAGCGTTTTTCGCGACTGTGCCGGGGCTCGTGCGCCTCAACGGAAGTGATTTGGTTTCGGAGTTGAAGGAGCGCGTGTTCTGCGTTGATGAATGCGTAGCTCTATTAAAATGGTCGTCGTCAGACTTTATAGTTTTTTTTTTACTTTTTTTTTTTACTTTTCAGCGTGATAATGAAGGATTATTAATACGAACAAGAAAAATTACCAGCAACAAGAACACCAGTATTTGCGCAACATTTGGAACCTCTTAAGAGTAAACGTTCCCGTTGGTGAGGCTGGCCATTACAAGGCATATAGTTTAGTAGAGATGCGATATTATAGTCCCAAGAGCTTATTTGGCGGGGTGCCCCTTCCCGCATCTGTCCTCCCTCTACCAATGGCTGCTCGTTTTTCTTCAAAAGAACTTGAAATATTTGGATTGCGAGTGCTTACTTTATTAGAGTGGCTTAAGTTTACTGTTTCTGAGCACATTGGTCGGATGTATTATTTTTTTTGTGCAAGTATAACTTGTTTTCATCAGGGAGTTGCATATAGACGAACTTCAAAGCGATCCGGACTTTTCTACTTCGATCCTCACTGTAGCCTCTAAAGAGTTTAGCAAGTTAGATGCTTGTACGCAGAGCTAACTTGTACCTGTCAAGGGCGACTAACTTTTAATTGACCAGCGACCCAAGCTGAAGTCGTAGAAACATTCCGCTTGTTGCGCTGTATCCCGACTACACAAGCAATGCAGCTCCCCGGAGCTTGTACTAATGACGATGATGACGATTTTTATGTAATGCACGTGTTTTATAGGTTACTTTAGTCAGTTAAGCTTCTTTTCTGATATCCCTATTGTAACGCTCAAGCCGTCTTCTGTCAATAAGAAGTTCATAACTGCGCTTGGGGTTAACGCTCCAATCGTTTATTTGTATGCCCATTTTATTTGGCTTGCAGGTGCGGCATTCGGTCTCACTTCAGCTAATCCTCGAGAGACTTGATACTTTGTGCTGGGATAACTATAAGGTCTCTTACACCAGCACTGTTTCGCTTGGCTACGGAATACGTGACCATAGCTTACTAGTTGGTTAACTACTTGTCCTCCATCGAAACGGAAATATCTCCGTTAGAGTGGCAGATTCTAAGAGAGAAATCTTTTTTGCTGGAAGAGTAAGTATACTCATTAATTTCTTTATTTAATAAAGTAAATACTGAGCTTTTTACTAGGAGGGCCGGCTCCTTTTCTATTGAAAGAAAGAGAATGCGCGCCTCCGAACTTGCCATCCCCACTGACAAAAACCGTTCCTCTTTTAGTAGCCGTTATGGTGTTGAGTATTAAAGATTATAAAAAGGAGCTATTGGTTGTTCTCTGCTGGAGTGGAGTCGTAACTGGAGAGCCTCGTCATCTGAAGGTCGCATGGCGTGCCTGTTGGTAATTGGCCATCATTAACGATGAGCGTGTGTAGCGCTTCTTCTGAAGAGGATTGGGTTAATGGACCATCCCCGCCTCGAGTTCCTTCTGACCACCGCTGCTCGTCTGCCTTCTCAACAGGCTCCACTCACGAGAGAGAATTTCCTTGCCTTGAACTATTTGTTGGCTAACTTTTCTCTTTACAAACAACATTATAATAAGTCGACCTCTGTAAAGTTCATTCCTTGTAGCGTTGAGGTTTGTAATGTCTCTACTTTACTCTTTTTAATGCATTGTAACTAATCCAGTAAGCAAAGCCTGACGTGACGGTTATGTTGTACTCGCCTTCCGAATGTTATTGTTCGCCCGAAGCCCGCTTGTTCGGTGACTTTCTGTTATCCGTACTACATAGGCATTAATGTTGCGTATCTTTCTCTGTAGGACTTCCAGTCGTGTTGGAGGTTTTTTTTGACAGCGTGCACCTCCTGGGCGTCCGTTCTGACCCTCCCGGTAGTCCTTCAATCAACAGCAGGCGGCAGAGGGGTTACTCGTTTTTTTTTTATGCAGGAGCACTACTGGTCGAGTGTTTGAGTAAACGAAGGTTGGTGGACCACGCGGTTGCATGCCGTGTTTTCTCGTATTTGGCTTCGTGTGCTAACAGTAACCATTTCTGCTTTTTTTTATATACTTATTATTTAGTTTATTTTTGCTTTTATTGAAAGCATTTTCATCCGAAATATACAAGAAATTTTTTGAAATGGAGTTTGTACCGGTCGATTATATTTTTAAGTTATGATTATTACGGTTTTTTATTTAAATATAAATATTTGTGGTAAGTTGGACTCTCCTTCAGGGGATTCTCTTGTGTACGGAAAACCATCTGAAGTTTACTTTGACCTGCCCGAGTAAAAATCTTTTACGTTTTACTATATTTATTTGTGCTGTTTTCATTGCACCTTCACTATCCTTTAGCGAGTACAAGGATTTATTTCCCACCGTCGACTTTGGTGCTCAGGGAAATACCTTCCTGCGGCTCTGTGGCGCAAAGGACAGGCCTACCGTCGAAGATTTGGCTCTCAAACTCACTTCACAACCAGAAGACGTGCGGCCACATGTTTATGTTTATAGTGTGCTCGTTCTTATGTTCATTATTTCAGCTCTTTCGAGCCCTTGGTGGGCCATGTGGCTATCTGGCAGTTGTAAGGGAACTTTCCGTCCACTTTCGACAGTTTTCGACCCAGTTGCTTTCGAAACTGTACGACTTTTTATGTACTGTTTAGCTTGTATATGATATCCACTATTAGTTCCTCCTCGCGCTGTTTGCTGGCATGGAAAACGACTTCTGAAGCTGATGATTTGGAGGCTTCTCTCTGCGTCTTCTACGAATTGTGTTGTGCCAATGGTAGCCCTTTTTTAAGTCATATATTTTTTTTTACTGCAATCGCTTTATGCTTCAGAATGTGTCATAGCTGACGAGGCTGTGATTCGCCAGTTGTTTAACCCCTTATCCGCCCCGAGCGAGACGACCATTGAACTTTTTTACCACGCTCTTGGTAGTGTTTTTTTGCACTATTTGCGTGGGCAGTGCTGTTTTTCTCTGTTTCTTACAATTAGGGGCGCGCTACATATCACGAGAGGCAACAACTACAATAAAGTTGATAGGTGGCTTTCACATACTTTTCTCCCTCGTGTGTGTTCAAACACTTGCTTGTTTTTTTTATAGGAAAGCCTATTGTGGATGACACCGCGTTGGCTTTGAAGAGCGCAATACTACAGCGGTTTCTTGCTATCATCTATTAATATACTTTTATTTTTCACGGTGAGTTTTTCCTCGTGTAGTTTGCCGTTACTTCAATACGCCTATTCTCAAAGTCACGGCCCTGGTAGTGGTTCCAACTTTGCTAGTCTTCAGGGCCTAGAAGGTACTTCGAGTAATCTTTATTGTTCATTGTGGCCTAAACTTTTGTTCACAGTGCGTTTATATAAACATCTTAAAAAGGAGATGACGTTTCGCGGTAAAACTAAGCACCAGCCCACCACTGCTGCCCCTCTTGCAGGGTACATTGCTGTCATTGGTTAATAGTAAATGTTGCGCGATAGTGATAAGTTATTTGTATAATGGACTTGTGACTGACACGTTATTACAAGTTTAACCCTAGCGGCCACTGCAGCGTATGACTACCACGATGTTGCTACGGCACTTACCTTCATGACCAACAAGAAGACTTCCCCTAACGACGCTCTTCTATTTGCTGCTTTGCTTGCTACACCTTTAATTGGGTGTGTTAGTTATCATTATTATTAATAATGATATTATTATTAGTGGTTAGTCTGAAGGCGAAAGGTTATCCTATTGAAAGGCTCCTGCAAGTGCGCCCTTCCGAAAGCGCCACTCATTCCGTCGAGACGCCGAAGGACGTATTTGACTCGAATACTTCTCTCGATAATAGTTTTTCTCGTCAAGTTAAACTCGTGGAGAAATTGAAAAAAAAGTTTTCTAAAGTAATCTTTTTTTTAACTGGAACACATGTTCATGTCCGTTGATATTATCCAGATTTCTAAAGATGAACTACTTCAACTGTTAATGAAATTCAAAGATTACAATGAAGTTGAAAATTACTTACATTCCTTTGAAAATGCTAAAAGTATAATATTAATTATATTATTTTAGCTTTTTAAAATCACTTCTTTATATTTGCATTTTATATTAGCACTTAACAACTTTATATTAAAATGATATATAACAATTTGTTATTATTATAATATAATAATAAAGCTTACAAGCGATTATTAAACATACGAAAAGCAGTAAAAGTTTATTTTCTGTAAACTTTTTTGTTTATCAAATTCTTCCTATTGAAGAGCCACAAACTCTTGCTGGGAACTTGTTTAATGCGATCAGGAGATGCCGGCCTCACAATAAAAGGACCGTGGACAACGGTTTCATAGCATTGACTGCTCTTTCCTATCCCATCATTCACATCAAAGCTGACAAGAGCCCCGACGACTGATTCGACCGACGGCTATGGAAACCACGTGCGAGGTTATTCCAGCCAACCATCTCACCTTTCTGAGGGAAGTAGAAGGTTAACCCCAGCAGACTTCTTGTGTTTACTGTGCAACTACTTGCACGTGGTTTAAAGGTATCGAACTTTATGTCTCGCGTGGCGCCAGCGACTCTGATGTTTTTGCAAAGTAAGTATTAGTATTTATCTTTTTTTGTTAAATGTTAAAATATTTATAATTCAGCTCTTCTGTATGCTTTTCACACGTCCTGAAGCAAATGGGAAATATCTACCAGCTTCCACCACGTGCAATTCACATGGTAAGAGACAATCGTTTAAGTAATTCTTCGATTCACCATATATATGTTAGTTTTTGGGTGAGGAAAACAGCACGGTGGTGGCATTTAACAACGGTTGTGCTTTTTTATATAAAAAAATTTTCTTGGGTATTTCAATATAATACTCGCTATGTAACATTTTAGCAACATCTTCTGGTTATTCGCTGTTTTTCAACCTCAACTACTTTCACCGACTTCATTATAACGAAGGAAGACGCCTCAACATTCGCTGTTATTTTTATTGGTTGCGACAATGACTTCTTTTACTAATTTTACTGAATACCTGAGAATCTATTTTTTCAAGGTACTTGGTGTACGCTCACGAGTTAGCTCATTGCTTTGAGCCTTTACATAATCAGCAGTTTATAACTTATTTTGGGTATACAAGCATCAACTTTATATGTACTTCTGATAATGACTGTTTTTACTGTTTAGTGCTTTTGCTGAAGAGTTTTATGAATCTTTTTTAGCGGCCAACCCCTCTTTTTCTGTTTAGTGCTTTGCGGAAATATATAATAATAAAATAATGTAGAAGCTCCTTTTTGTGAACTAGTTAAACTTTACTATTATATCCAACATAATTTATTAATATATAAAATTTGTTAATGTATATAATTTCCTTAACTTAATTTCTCTTAAGTATGCGCGCTATAAATTTTATCTTAATCAAAATTTTTGAAGCGCGTACGAGCTAGTTTACTAGTAATTAATACAAAAAAAATTTGTAGGAGGAGCTGGCTACAAGGTTTTTCTTCAACTATCCTAATTGTATTTTGAGGTTCATCACTTTAGAGCACACACCCCTAAGAGGATTTTAAAGTAGTCACATGTATTATAAAGTGTTTAGTGTACTATATGATCTTGTTCTTAATTTTTTAATATAACCGCTCTTGTATAGAGAACCCCCAAAAACCCAGCAACCGACGAAAAAGCAGCAAGCTTTAATATAGAGAAAGTTGTATATTAAGGAAAGCAAACTTAGAAGCGCTCACATATTTGCACTTCTATTTTTTAGTGCATAGTTAGGTCCAATAGTGTGCAGTCTTTATAGTTAATCGGGTATAATATTGCAGGAAAGAACGCATAGTATGTAGATTTAAGTTTTAATTTTATGCCCGATTGTAAAACTTTCTACTTTATAATTGAATATAGCTAAGCATAATTTAATTAGCACAGATGACACTATAAAACGTATATTATAAAGAAGCATAATTGTTATACACTAGAGGAAGCTATATATGCTAAAGTTTACTGATAATTGCACATGCTGGTAGTTTTATTAACTTATCTTCAAATATAATCACTTTGCTGGTAGTTGCAGTGGATTACGTCCGCGACTTAAGGCAGTTCTATAAAGGTTGAGATATACTCTCTGTAATAATACCATGGCATTTACACAGTCCATTTTCGGTTTTAAACTTTGGTGCACATTCACAGTGTAAAATAATTATAATGTAGACATAATTGTAGGTGGTAACTAACTTATAATTTAGTGTATTTATCTAAATTTTGAATGTCCCTCCGTGAGATCACTAAAACTATCAAATTGTAACAATAAGGTCAGTCCCTTACCTCTCTCCTGCTAAGTGTATACTTGCAAGAATGAAATAATAGTAAGCGGAAAAGTGATGTAAAAGAAAATGGTAGAAACTAATTTTTGGATTTTAATTAGTTCTTAATATTACTAATTAAGACACACTCTGATAAGGCTCAGCTATACCTACGCTGCCGGTTAGAAACTATGCCATAATTGTCGTTAGTATTGTATAGTTACGTAAACCTTACCTTATAAAAATAAAAGAGGGAGAAAGGAAGCGCAAAGTTAGACTGAGATAAATCAAAACAGGTGACCCCTTAAACAGTGTGTCCTCCAACAAAATAGGGCTTATAAATAATTTAAAGTATAATAAATTCCTCAAAGACTCTGTTCTACCTATATAACTGTGAATGTTTGTTGCTAAAAAGTCTTCCTTCTTAAAATGATCTGCTGCCAAGGCTTTCAAATAAATCAACTGTATATTTTAATAAATAAATAATATCCGCTTCAACGGGGTGCTGTGGTGGCCGAGCGGTCTAAGGCGCGTGACTCAAGTTCACGTGGGAGTTTTCCCTCGTGAGTTCGAATCTCACCCACAGCAGTTCCTTGGTCTTTTTCTATCTAATTGTCCCGGCTCCTTTGTTTTAGGGTTATTTATCTGTCTATTCTACGTTTCTATTTATTTTACTTACGGTGCGAAGAGAGTAAACGACGTTTTCATAACCGTGTAAAGGGGGAATTTACACCTTATTTTAAATTCGGTTTTCAACTGGGTCTTTTTTTCTTAGTTTTAAAGTAACTGTTTGCCGTAAGTAGTTTTGCAATGATATTAGCTCATAAGACGGACCTCTTTTTTATTTTGTGTATTTGAATTTGTGTCGTAATTAATCAATACGCCTTATATCTTTTACGTAGTTGGTTTACCACGTTAATTTCATAAAATAGGTTTTAACTTAAATTCTTTTTTCAAACTCCTGAATTTGTTAGTTATATGGCTAAAATCCATGAAAGAGCTTCCACCATTTTTTTTAAGATTTTATTTGCAACTCATCTCGGTCTACCAGCATGAAAAACTGCTTTCATTTTTTAAAAAGTTCCCCTACTTTTTTATAATTCAAGTTTATACTATTATCTGTTACTTCTAGCGCTATATAGAAAAGCAAATATATTTATCTTCAAGCTTTTAAGAAGGCTAAAACCACTAAATTTTTTTTCTATTTGTCTTTTGTTTAAACTTTTAGAGGGTAGAGACATGCCTATGCGTCCTCTTCCTCAACGCATTTCTTTATTTTAATATTTACAATGTAGTTTTTGGTTTAATGACGAAAAATAGCCAGCAGGTAAGCGTTTTTGTTTTTTATAACAATTTATATTATTTTGGATTTTATTTAAAGACTACCTAAAAAAAAGGTAATTTATAGTTATTTAAATATTTACATAAACTTTAAGTTTTAAACGTAGCAGTACTTATGGAAAAAAGAGTTGTGGTTTGCGTGGTTGTTTCCTTTTTTTTTCCTATAAGCTTAAGTGAGATGCTGTAAAAAATGTTCTTTATTTACTTTGCTTCTGAAAATTTTCTGTTTCAAAGGAAGGGCCAAATGGTTTTATTAAATTGAGATTCACGCTGAAGTATTAGTTAGCTTATTTAGCTTTTATGTCACCTTGTTTTTCTTCTTCCTGTAAAAAATAACTAAAAACTTAAAGGTTAACTGAGGAAACATTGAAACAGCACTGTAATATGCGCGGGTTGGAATTATAAAAGTAACTGCAGAATTGTATACAACTTAAGCCTTATTACCAACTTGTGTGCACTGTTTTGAAGGGAAACTTATTTAAACTGAATAAATAACTTAACTAGATCACTAGGGGGCTTTATAATAATTAAAAGAGAAAACTTTCGCTTATGTTTTTAAACAACTTTAAACAGTTTTTGTTTGCTTCTTCCTTTACAACTGAAATTATTTATTCCCTTTGCTGAAGCTTGAAGGTAACATTTTGTTTAAATAAACAAAAAGCAATAGTGCTTACAAAAATAAGCAAGTTATACAAGCACATACGTGCAAATATTGAAGATGACTTTGATTATTACTGTAGTAATGAGGAACACTCAAAGAACTTTTTGAATCGAGAAAAAGGCACGAAGCTAATAGCGGTTAAGGAACAGTCAAACTTACAACCAAAGAAGAAACTGTAAAGCGCTGGGGTCTACAATTTTTTGGCATAGTGTTAACAGAATTTCTTGGCGGTAAATTCCTTTAACGGGCAAAACTCTAGGGCTTAAAATAGATTTGTTTACGTTCCATAAATTGACCACTTTTCAATGTTTTGTTGGTTGCTGCCTAATCCGTTAGAACATGGCACTGAAACTTACCAGTGTTTGTTTCAGAGACCGAGTCTGTCTATTACGGTCAAGTTCCACAGACTTACTCTTGCAAATTGAACCTAGGCGACAAGTGGTAAACTTTGTAAACAGTAAACCTATAAGGGTTTAAGGTGGGAAAAGCAGCAACCATAGGGGCGTAAGAATGTCCCTCTCTACGGCAGATTACTACTTTGTTTTTGTCTTCCACTGTTTAACAACGTGCAAAAGTATGGTTGACCCTAAAGTTGAGGTTCTGTATTTGGCTAAATGATAAAAAAAGAGCACGAAAGATGGAAAATCGGTTAGAGGAAAACTAATTAAATCGAGCTTGACTTGTTATGAGCATGTGAGGACTTAAAGAACATTGCTAACAGGAACAACGTTAAATTATAACGTCACGTTGAACTATTAAACGAAGTAGCATTCAAGTACTAGTGAGATACTTTAACGAAAAGAGATTTTACAATGGAAAGGATAAATTAAAAATATTATATATGAAAAAATTAGTTAATAACTTAGCGGTTGAGCATTTATGGTATATAAAACTATAAACAATTTGTAATTAACGTGAGCAACAACTATCAATGGACAAAACTAGTAGGCTGCTGGGACAGTTGGCGACAAACATTATGGTAATATATGAACGATAAAAGATTATTGATAGTTTTAGAATTTAGTAGACAGCTGTCCTCTATTTATTAGAACCACAGCTTTTAATAGGTGGAAAGGTTAGTATTAAAGTTTCGTGTTTTATTTAAGAAGAGCGGGTGCCATAAAGAACACTCTAGCTCAACATTGTATCTCTTTTATTTATTCTTTGTGGATTTAAATTCTAACTGACAAAAACTTTCTCAAGAACCAGCAATGCAATAGATTAAGCTTTCCATACGAAATAGAAATCTGCACAAGAACGCAAAGCGAATGATTGCGAACTTTACCTACTTAAAGTATTTTATTAATAAGGGTTGACGAGAAGTAAAGAAAAAAATTATAATTGCTCAATCTACTTGTCTCTAGCTTAGGTTGGATAGAAAATTGGAACGAAACTTCGATAGTACTCGTAGCTCCAAAGTTAGTAGAATATAATTATAACAACTGACTAACACATAAAATTTGTGGTCTTCTGACTTGTCCAGTCTCGATGGTTTTCTACTTCACCAACTTTTTCATTAAATAGAATGCCGAGTTGTGTCAACTAAATAAAGTCTTTGTACAACTGCTTTTTTTACATTTAATGAGGTATCCTTTTAATTTTATTAAAAAAAGCTTGAAGGGAATTCAAGTGTTATAAAAACAAAAGCTGAAGTACTCGATTGCAAGGAACGTTTTAACTTAGTAGAAGAATTTACTTTCTGCTCGTAACTAAATAAAGCGATTTCTATCTTAATTATCTAATAGGAAACAATTTGTTAAACACAACCACTAATACTAACACTAAAAACATCAATCTAAACATTAAACTGAAAAACGGTTATTAAAAAAACACAAGCGCGATCACATATAAACCCACTAAATTAAAAGAAAATGATCCTAAACAAAGCCAAATGGACATATAAAATGTGGATAATAGCAACTGCAAAATTCTTTTATAATAGCTTTGTGATGCTTAAAACTTCGAGTACTAAATTATAAGTTTGCGTTAGCAAGTTATAGAGGGTTTAATACATTTAAAAAAGAATGAGAGTAGAACGTAGAAGTATACATGAGAAACAAAATACTTTGTATAATCTTAGCGTAGTAAATTACCATGGTCCTTTAGCTAATCCCGAGAAAAATATATAGCAGTAGCTAAAAAGAAGCAAAATAAATTCAGGCTAAATAAAGCAGTGGCCAAAAAATATAAAAATTTTTTTCGCGTAATTAAAAATCTTATTAAAATTAAACTAGAGGCAAGGGAGCTAGGGCGAAAGATGGATTCTAGGTTTTTCGTTTGCGTTTTTTGCATGTGTACGGAGAAAGATGCTTGTAAACTGAGAGTTGGATTATAATCTAATAAAATTATAAACTCGTGTTACTCCCCACAATTATTAGTCTTACGGTATAGAGAAAAGGGAAGTGCAGATTATTTAAAAAGACAAGCCGCTCAGGAGGGTACAAGACTTGGATGAGCACAGCTAAAAAAGTTTAAATTTAAATGGAAGCTGGTAGAGTTATAGGGAAGTAGTAAGCCGTTAACTCCTTATAAAGTCGAAGTTTAAGGCAGTAGATTAGAAAAAACAGGACGAAACCTTAACTGTGAGTTTAAGCGAGTTGTAATATAAAATTGATTGTGCATACGGCTAGACTGAAGGTAAAGTAGAGGTAAAAATTAAATAGGGCATAAGGAAAAGCGAGGAACGGTCTACATAATTTAGACTATGACGAAAAATTGTTTAGTTGTTAGCAAAATTAAGCAGTCTGAAGTCATCAAATATCTGCATAATTCAATAAAAAAAAAAAGAAATAAAAACAAAGATTGCGATTCAAGGAAGTCTAAATCTGTAGTGTCCAGTTTTCCCCACTCTACGTGGATATGTTCCTGCTATCACTCCGTCCTTTGGAAGAATCATAAGAGTAGTAAAATAGGCGGCCTTTAGTGAAGATGCGCAATACTAAGCGCCAGACGTCCATAAAGCTGGGTGGGATTGTAAAGTAATTGTCTAGAGCACAGAACAATAGTGAGTCCATGGTAAAAGGGAACAATTAAGAGTTTATTTTAGACTGTAAAAGTTATTATTCTATTTTCAAACAGGTTAAGATATTAATTTAACAAAATATTGCGGATTTCGTCGCGAGTTTAGCCTTTGTTATCCTACGATTTTTAAAATAATGTAGCCTTGAAACACTCATAGCTTTAATCCATCAAGTTGAAATCAAGAAGAGAGGGGATCCGATGGGGCCCAAGGAAAACTGTTCTGATAAAGCTGAGATGCTTTTTAAATTAAAAGGTGACTGATAAAAAAAGTATCCACAGCAAAAGCTTCCTTTAATATAGTGATTTGTATATAATAGAGCTCGTTCAAAATTTATGTCAACACCAGAAGAATTTTCTTTTTAAAGCTAAAATAGGCTTATCACTAGGTTTCTAACATGAAATATCGATATTATAACAAACGAAGGAAATGAAAACTATTTACTGATGTGGGACTATTAGTAGTGAAGCTTAACTTTTTTCTTTATTTTTTTAAAACTTGATAACTTTGAGAACTTTTTTGAGCCGCCAGTCTACCAAGCTCTTACATAAGCGCAATAGACAACTAAAAGTTGATTTAAAATTTAAGCCGAATATTAAAAAGTAGCCTAGCGCTGAGTAAAATCTAGAAGTCAATTAAATACATCACAATGGAATAATACTTAAGAACGACAAAAAACTACTAAAATAGTCATAAAAAATGATTATAACTTAAGTATTATTAAACGCATTTTTCTTATATTATCAAATAGCTTTAGATCGCACAAAATCTTATATAATTCCCGTAGAAACGAAACGCTTTTATTAGCCAGAAAAATTCACAAAAACGTTTTTCTGTCAGTCAGTAGGAACGTAAGATATTATACAAAATAAATAATACTGCTTATATTTACTAGAAAAGTTTATTTTTAACCCGACCGCAAGTACATAAATTATATTTCAAAAAATATTACCATAATAGATTTACAGTAATTTATTCCTTTCATCAGTGTTAGTACGGCAGCTACCACTCCACAGGGTACCGCAGCCCGTAACAATCCTTGTGATATCCACTAAAACACACGAATTAACGTCTGTTGCCTTAAGATTTTTCAGATTTTTAAAAACAAGATTCTTTTCTTTAACATTTATGAATTTTTCGCGCCTTAAAGAAAAAATTAGTAAAACTATTAACACAAGATTTTAAAAATTTAATTTTTTTTTTATTAATCAACCTCAAACTTTCAGCAACGGGTAGCTGATAGCGTTTAAAAACGCTTTCGGCAACTCGTTCAAGATGTTGATAAAAGCGAGCTAAAAATATTATAAAAAAGTTTCATATGCATAATTTATTAAAATTAATAATATAATATGTATTCGAAAGATAGGAATTGTACAAGAATAAATAAGGGGTTTCGGAGTAATCTTAATAAGATTCATATCCTAAGTAATTAAAATTTGTACGGTAGAACTTTCATTTATTAAATATAAACTTTTATAAAAGTAGCAGATAAATAAAAAACATTTCTAATCCGCAAAAAAAATAATTCTGAGTAAAATTAATAATATAAATGATTTAATTAAACACAATCACAAAAATTTTTATAGCAAAAAATCGCTAAATCTGCTAAATTTGCGGTTCCTCACAGTTATATGTAACTATTACGTGAGGGGAGGCGGGATCGAAGGCGTGGCGCTTCTCCGTGTGCAAAAGCGCTACAGAATAATACACACCAAAAAGACAAAACATTTTCTTTTCAGTAAAAGTTAAGGCGTGGGTTGACTGAGAATAATAATAATAATAATAATAATAATAATAATAATAATAATAATAATAATAATAATAATAATAATAATAGTATATAAATAAATTTAGTTCGGGTTACTTTAATTCAAAAATTATTTATTTTATCTAAATTAAAGGCAATTTCTTTACATTTTATAGACTTTTTATTGTATATATATATATATTATTTCTTAATATTTTATATTTCATTTAACTTCACCGTTTTATAATAATAATTTATATTAACTTGTTAACTTTGTAACTAAATAGAAAAAAACGTTATGTTTCTTTAATAACTTTTATATTTAACAAAAATAATATATATAAACCAAACACAAATATATATATAAAAAAAACAAATTAAAACTTTAAAAATTTGGAAAAAATTGTACCGATAGTGCTCCTTGAGGAATAAGAAAATAAGATTCGAAATTACCAAACTTAAATAGTCCTGCAATAGATATCGGGTTGCAGTCAATAACAATAAAGAAAATATAATTAGAATTATAAAAAAAAATTATAATCTTGTAGACTTTCTTTAGAGCTGCATTCACAATAAAGAATATGAAAAATTATATATTTTTTCATAAAAAAGTATAATAGATTCAACAAATTCTATTTTAAATTTGATTTTTACTGGTTCAAAAAAGCAGAGAAATAGAAAACGAACAAAACGCAAACAAAAATACTGTCGCTGTGCAGCCTAAATTTATTTGTACGCACAAGCTAAAAAGCGGAGTGCTTCTATAAAAGTCTTTATACACTAAATAATATCACAGAATATTATTATAAAAGAAAATTAAACTTGAATTTTTTAGTTCACTGCAACTATAATTAGAAAAACTTAATAAATACAGAAAGCAGAAATTAAAAATCAAAAAAATTAAAATAAAAAAAAGTAATGAGTACAAATAAATTTAAAAACGGGAAAGGAAAGAACAATTCGAGAAAGGACGGGTACCTGAGCGGTCCTTTGCATACGCAAGAAGAGCATTTATATAATGATCAAGCAAATTTTTATCCAACACGCCAACAACTTTACAAGGAGAATTAACTAAACGAAATCACTACAATGTCATCATAACGTATAATAAAAAGTTTAGAGAAAAATACGATCCGAAGGAGAATAAGAAAGTCCCATTTTCTTTAAAGTAGCATTTAAACTAGTGGGCAGTTCTTTTATATTGCAGTCCAAATAATGCACTTTATATCCTTTTCTTTCAAAGACCTTAATAATAATAACATCAAAAAAAATTATAAAAAAAAATAGAAAGTTTAAAGAGTTTCTGCAAGGGAAGGAGTACTTTAAAATTCTCAAGGAAGATGGGCTTCCGAAAAAGTTGAAAGACGTAACTAGCGCGTTCCGCCAAAAGACTAGACAAAAGTCCGGGGCCTCCATAAAAGAGTAGGTTAAGAGGAAAGAGTTACAAAGTAATAAAAAAATAATCAAACCTGGACAAAGCTCTATAACAAAATGTTTATTGTTTACTTCAATCTTCTCTATCACTCTTTCTAAAGTAATATATTTAACGTAGGCTAAAATTATGTTAATGGAATCAAAGCTAATAACTTGAAAGCGCATCGTTGAGGATAAAAGGAGTCAAAACGGCGCTAGAAGCTTAAAAAAGAGCATTTAATTACTAAAGACAGTAGTCTGTTAAGAAAGTACCAGAGTCTTCGTGCTCAGGTGCTATATTTTTAATATCATTTTTAAAGTTTAAAAAAGCTTCTATTCTCCTTTTATTTATGCGGTCTTTATTAATCCTAACCTCCTACATCAAAAAATAATATAATTATAATAAATTTTATTGCTAATATTTTTTAACCTTATAACGAGCTACCGAAAAGCTAATTAAACGTAAGGATATAGTGAATAAACTGAGTCGTCTATTTAGTAGTTTATTTTCTATATTGTGTAAGGAAGAAAGTAAATCAGATAAAGGAGGAGAAAACATTAAAAAATTATATCTTCAAAACATATTATAGCTGTGTAAAAGTAAGCTGAAACACATCGACAGTCAATCTGTCCCGCGAGGCCTTCCTCCCACCACTGCTGCTATTTGCACTCTATATGAGCGGCATGCCATCTCTCTGCGTTCTACTTTTTACGGCAAGATATACGGCTTCATCTCGACGCGCTAGCTAGCCGGTGTTTTTAATAGCAACGCGCTGTTCATAACGAAGAAACGAAGGCGCTGCCGATGTTGTTATTATATAACGGCATACAAAGTCTCTAAATTGTCAAGGCGTTTTGCAGATATCTTTTGTGCAGCGAATATAAATTTTCGTTGAGCGATTAAGTGTAGGCGGTATTTTTTTTTGTTGTTATTGTGTATACAGCCGATTATGACATACGCTTCTGCTGCTTGGGCCTACATATTTTCGGCAAAAGCGTGGTCTCTTTAAGTAAGACAAAATATACTGCTACGACATCTAACAAAAGCGCCATAGTGGTGCGCAATCATAAATAACACCATGAATTGCAGCTTGAGCAGGCTGACTAGACCTTTATAAGCAACGCCGTCGTTCTTTGAGACGAAGAGTTGGACAAGCTAATTGTCTTTTAGTAGAAGATTCGCGTAATGGTTGGATGCTAAGTTGGGAGTTTAAGTAATATGCGAAGACAAATAATAGTAAAAATGAACTTGGGCTTGCACGCAAACGAACAACAGTAAACGCCATTAACAAATAAATAAATTTATTAGTGACAATATGTAATGTTCCAGTCATAATAGCGTCATCATTTAGTAAGTACGTAATTTTCGCTTACAAGCTTATCTAGCAACAACTTTTAAAGTCATGTTTTTGGAAGCTTCCAATTTTTTGTACGGAATTTTGGAGGTTCCTTACCTTATTTTAAGCCTATTTTAAATTTAAAAAGGTCTTGTCAGAATATCAATTACATACTGCTTAGATGAAAAAAGAGCTTCTTACTATTTGTAAAAAACTTTCTAATAGTTGTTTAAATTCTCATATATTACCAGCCGAGAAAAAGTAATTATTTTTCTAACAAAGGAGTGAATTACATTAGCTTTGCTATAAATCATACAGAAGCTTCGGTTCTTTTCCTTGCCATCCAACATGTACTTATGATGCTTATATTTTTATCTATATTAATAATTAAACTCTATAAGCAAGTAATTATTATATTTTATAAAACACTGAGATTTTTTATTCCAGTAGTCAAACTTTTGATAATAAACATAACTTTTATTTCTAGATCCAAACTTATCTCCTTTTTTTAACCTTAACTTGATAATTATACATTTATTACTTTGCGAGGAAGGTGAGAAGGGCTCCAAGAAAGAAAGAGAAAGTCAAGGCAAAAATTATACACAGAAGAACAGCAATAGAACCAAAAATAGGAGAAGCAACTTGATAGTATTATGCGAAAGAAAGAGGAAGAATATAATAGCTCACAATAAGGAAGATAAGAAGAAAGAATAAAAAATAAAGGTGTAAAAGACTAGAAGGCGGTAAAAGATGAAGCAGAAAATCAGTTAAAAATTAACATAAAAAAGAGTTTGGGGGGTGGAAACGATAAAATAAATTAACATTATCTATATTGCCTAAATAGAGGTCATTTGGCTTTAGTTGAATTAGTAATAAAATATAAGCTGGGGGACCAAGTCTGCTTATTTAGGTATTACAGAGAAACAAAAGGTTCATGATTATGTACCCACTTATCACTGATATAATTGTTTAATAGGAGTGCATAGCCATTTTGGTGAACGAAAACTTAATTTTTTGGTGAATTGATTCATAGATAGATTTATTAAATTTATAATTGAAGATTATCCACAAGGTAGGGGGAGGGTACTCCTAAAGTTAATATATAAAATTATACCGAAGGCTCACGTCTAAGTTTATTTCCTGTTTTTCTTTACTTTTTAAATAATGCGTCAGTTTCTTTCTCTTTCTACGGTAATTGTTATTCCGCGCTGATATCTAAAGTATCTGCCGCAGAGCTCCCATCAGCACTATTATTAACGTTACCACCGCTCAAAATCGATTTACAAACCTATACAAACTTTAAGCAAAATATATGAAATAATTATTAGCTGACTTTATAAATTCCCACAAAAATCATTAACTAAATGCATATACAAGGCCTTTGAACCATATAAGATTACTACAGAATTAATTTTTCACAATAGAATTTGCAATTTCAAAAGAAAATTGTGATCCTAAAAATCTCCGCAAAATCTTTAAAAAAAATCTTTGAGCTGTTTAAAAAGAATAAAATTTAAAGACTAATTTTTCTCAATTAGAATTACAAGTTTTCGAGTTTGTTAGATGATTCTAGAATTCGCCTTGCTTTTTACTTTAACTCTAACGCCTAAATGCCAGCGAAAGAGTAAGAATTCTTGTGTTTTAATTTAATTACTCCACACCGTTTTATTTCCATATTTATAGAGTGCGTTGAAACAGACATATATATTCTCACTTTTTGTAATGCTGTAAAATTCCAATGATTCTTAGCAATATACGAACTTCACGAGAACAAGAATCCAAGAAAAGAAAACAAAAGAAAGGAAAAGGGACGCAAACAAGAAGAGTTTTTATCAAACGACTTTTTTTTTACTACATCTATAAACTTTTGCAAAAAGATTATTTTTTGTTAATTTTATTATTGTGCCAAACAATAACAAATATTTTTTTTCAAAAGTGGAAAATTTAGTTTTCCCTATTTTGTATCTTTTTTTTGTATTCGTTTCTTCTAACTTTCCGCATTCTTATAATTTACGAATTTTAGTAAAACGATTTTTTAAAATTTATATTGTGCACAGAGTTAACTATAGAGTCCTTTAAAGTTATACCGATTACATATAGCATTACGAGTAATAATAATAAATCTTTTTTGAAGCTACAAATTTCAAAGCAGAATAAAAAAGAAGCCCTAAAGTGACTTTTTTTAATAATCCTTGAACTTTTATTTTTCTCTATACTACTAAAAAAAGGCCGTCTAACCGGAGCACATAACGCATCCGTCATCCTTATTACGGGAGCACGCCAGTTTTAGATCAAAAGATTGTTTTAGAGCAGAAGAGCCAAGTGACTTGAATTTACCGGGAGACTCCTAAAAATGTAAATCCATAAACGCAATTTACAATTATAAACTTGATATAATTATAATAATAATAATTAAGCATGATAGAGACAACACCTTCTGTAAGGACTGCTTATCCACAGTAAACTGAATGGCATTAGCGGCGGGGCGCGTGCGAAGGTAGTACATTCCAGTTTTCAATCCCTTTTTCCAGCCGTAAAAGTGCATGCTTGTCAGTTTGCTGATCGTCGGGGATCCCATAAAGATATTCAAAGACTGCGATTGGTCAATAAAGGCTCCGCGGTCTAAAAATTTAATGAATTTTTTTCTACGCTTATTACTATTATTTCATAACCGGCTGCCATATCAATCAAGGTTTTTTGAGAAATCTCCCAAACAGTTTTATACAAGTTTTTCAAATGCTCTGGAATATCGAGATTCTGTACGGAGCCTTCAAGTAATTATACATGCATATAAAAGTTATTATTAAAAAAATATGAAAGAAAGAAAGAGGAAGCCTTGGTGAGCAATAAGTTTATTCTTAGTATGGTCGTTCCAAAGTCCCAACTCTGTAAGGTCTTTTAAAAGATGATGATTCACTATTTGAAACTCGCCACTCAGAACGCGACGAGTATAAATATTGCTTGTGTATGGCTCAAAAGCTTCGTTGTTTCCTTTTGAGGCATAAAAATTAGTCATGAAAAAAAGGCAAAAAAGTGGCTACCAAGTATTTGGGCGGTAGAGGCAGTGGGCATTGGCGCTAGGAGAAGAGAATTCCTCACCCCTATTTTTATAATGTAAAATAAATAAAATACTTTCATTATAATTTTACTTTATTATATTTTATACTTTATATTGGTGAAGAAAAAGCCAACAAGCAAATATTGTTATAAAAATATATGAATTTATTTAATATATAAATTTCTAATAGTTTATAAGAAGGCAGTGCACACGTGTTTACATAATTTTGACTCGCGGACCTACTGCAATTACATTTTCTTTTTCCTCGTTTGCTGCGCAGTTGGGTTTATAATAATCAAATAGATATACAGCGCTTTCTAGTGCTTCGGCTTCCCTATATTATCCACTTTACTACCTATAATATGTGTTCTATTGTTTTATAATACTACTTTACTGCTTATAATATACGAGTTTTTGAAGTCTTATAGCCTGTGAACTCAACAATAACTGAACACAGAAATACTAAACTCTCATTATAGGTATATGATATTTATTTTTCAGAACTTACCGTATTTCTTTATATCTTCCCGAAGGGCCTCCCACGGCCACCGGTCGGAGGTGCTGACCCCCCACATGTCGTGCTGCAAAATGCCTTGAGAGACCGGAGAGCCTGCCATGATAATAATAGTAATAGTAATAGTAATAGTAATAGTAATAATAATAATAGTAATAATAATAATAATAATAATAATAATAATAATAATAATAATAAATGATAAAGGACCTTCGCCGTAAAGGTAACTTTCATAGGGGCCATGCACTTTTGCTTGCTCCACCGACTCGCTGAGCGCAGCAAAGTAGATTGTCTCGAATATTTCTTTATTTAGTTTCCGCGCCTCTTCACTTTCAAATGGAAAACGCATTTTAATGAATGCATCAGCTAATCCCTGCACACCTATTCCTGTTAAGACGGGCACATACGAGAGTGAAAAAAAAATAAAGGTAGTGATAATCAACCGATTGGTCTGTGTCTGAAATTTGAGAGTTGGGCTTCTTTGATTGGGTAAAAGCCAACATCAATTATACGATTTAAGTTTTTTGTAACGACTCGAACGACTTCATAAAGTTTTTCATGATCGAATGTTGGACCCATCGGAGATTCCTTCACGTACATAGGAAGTGCCACGGACGCGAGGTTACACACAGCCACTTCCTCAGGGGAACTATAATAATAAATGATATCAAAAATATTAATAACCCCAAAAAAGAAAAGTTACGAGTATTCAATGATTTCTGTGCACAAATTGCTGCATTTTATGGTCCCAATGTTTTTTTGATTGGATTTTCTGTTGCAAGTGTCTTTATAAAGCATATACGGGGTCCCCGTCTCGATTTGTGCCTCGAGAATGGCAAACCACAATTGTTGGGCACTCACAACTTGTTTGGCGCGTCCCTCTTTCTCGTATCTACAAAAAGACGCGACAAAAATTAAGGGGAAAATGCTGCTTTATAAAAATTAATGAAAGTGTTTTCTATACTTTGTGTAGAGCGATTCAAATTCTTCGCCCCAACAATCCTCAAGACCACGCGCATCACTGGGGCTGAACAAGGACCACGTTTCGTCATTTTCACACCGCTTCATAAATAGATCAGGGATCCAAAGGGCGTAGAACAAGTCTCTGGCACGCTTTCATGATAATCATAATAGTAATAATAATCATAATGATATAATTCTACGTCTTCATCTTTTCCAATATTTTTGCGCAAGTTCAGAAACTCAAAGACATCTGCGTGCCAAGGTTCAAGATATATAGCAAACGCGCCAGGCCTTCGATTTCCTTACCAAAAAAGTAAGCCAATTCCATAATTAAAAAATTTGCTTTTTTTTAATGATAGAAATATTTTAAACAGTCAATGAAAACACCTCCTTGGTCCACATACCGAGCCGTATTGTTAAACACTCTGAGCATCGGAATGAGGCCGTTGGAATACCCGTTCGTCCCGGAAATATAACTTCCTTCTGAGCGGATGCAGTGAACATTTAAGCCAATCCCACCAGCGGATTTCGAGATGAGAGCACATGTCTTCAACGTGTCGTAGATCCCTTTAAAGGCAGTCCAGTCATCAAAAAAAAACACGTAGGAGGAGGATGCCCTACAAAACCTTCAATAGAGTCTTCTTTCATTGTTAAAAGAAAACAACTTGAAAGTTGGGGTCGCGGAGTTCCGGCGTTGAATAGTGTCGGGGACGCGTGGATGAACCATTTCTCGGACAATAAGTTATAAGTCTGCCAATAATAATGTAAATAAATTGTTCATACCAATCAGTAGGATTAAAATAAAAATAAAAGACAGAATAAGTAGTTAAGAAAATATTAATAACAAGTTCTGTATATACTTTTATAAACTTTTAACAAACTAACAAATACAAAAAAGGTAATCGCTCATTAGAATAATAAATAACTTCGATAGCAGAATCGATGTCTGCGCCATGAATTCCGACAGCTACGCGCATTAGCATGTGTTGCGGGCGCTCAGCGACTTTCCCGTTCAATTTTAAAAGGTACGACCGTTCTAAAGTTTTAAATCTTTTTATATATAACAGAACATTAAAAAAGTGTTTAAATATTTTTCTAACTACATCAAAACTTACTTCTCTTTTATAAGAACTTACTGTTATTTTAGCAAATGGAAAAGTTAAATATTATATAATTTCATAACATAAATTTAATAGAAAAAGTTTATAATTATACATGTATTCCTTTACAAATTTGTAAGAAAACATCTTAGAATTGGTTTTATATAAATTATGAACATTCACTTCTGTTCAATAATAATGGGAAAATATAGAAATATTAGAAAGATATTAAAAATTATAATTAAATAAAATTTCATATTAATTTATTAAAAAAGGAATCAACAAAACTATTAAATATATATAGAAAAATTTAAAAATACAAAAATTAATAGTGACGATCCATAATCTAAAATCTTTTTTTTAAGTAATAAATAATCGCGAATACCCAAAGTACTGATAACTGTAGTCACGATCATAAATTATAGAAGAGTTCAAACGATCTGCATTTCTTAAGACAATTTCAAGGTACTCTTTAGATACGAGAGGGCAATGCCTTTGATTCGTGGGGTTCACCCAATTATAAAGATCTAATGTAAGTTCACTATAAACCTTATGGAAAGTATATATTAATTGGATTTTAAAAAAAAATGTATTTTATATATTCGCGATAATAATAATAATTAAAAAAATGAATCCTAGAATTACTAACCAAGATTTCAAATTTATGTCTAACTTACTATTTTAAATTACAAAAATAAATTTTTTTAACATAAAATTATATTACATAAAGCATATTTAGTTAAAGTATTAAGAAAATAGTTTAGACTTTTAAAAAATATAAACTTTATATAGTAAATTAAGATTGATTAAGTAAAATAAATAGAAAAAGTAAAAATGTGTAGAACTACACCATATAAAAACCTTTTTGGTTTCTTTATGGAGATTCGACATGGCGATTCTAGCGGCCAGTATACCATAATCTGGGTGTTTGGTAGTGAGGTAGGCGGTGGTTTCAGCGGCTAACGTATCTAGTTCGATGGTAGTAACGCCGGGAAAAACCCCAGATATAACCTGTTAACGTTTATTTTTTTTTACTTTAAGCAAAATCTTTTGTAAAAATCTTAAAAAACTGTTTTTAAGAAACAAAAAAAAAGCTAATTAGAATATTTAGCGGAAAACGTCTTTCCAGATAACCTTTTGTGTTATCTCCACAGGCTCAACGTGATCCATGTTTAAACCATAACAAAGCCTTTCAATACGAGAAGTAATTTTGTCAAACATAACGTTTTCTCTTCTCCCATCTGTTAAGATTATAAATTTTTTTTAGTAAGCTCAAGAGTTTTTATCAAGAAGGAAGCTAGTTGAAAGTATTAGACTAACCCCTTTTTACTACATACAGCTTCCCCGTCATCGCTTAAAGATGGCCTATAAAAATATTAAATACTTTTTATAAGTTGAAAGCAGAAGTTAGTAAAAAGACGCCCTTTACCTAATTGAAGAGAAAAGTACTTGAAAAAGGAGGGTACAAATCACCTACTGCATTCATATTTAAAAAGTGGAGGTCAACAGTACACGTAAGGGGGAGGCTGCTTGAAGGGGAAGTTCGGAGTTACGTAAACAAAGTATTGCGCGATAGAATACGACATTAGAAAGTTTATTAATAAACAAAATATTCTTCAACAAAATATTTTAGGTTATGTTAAAAGTAGAAAAATTTTTTCTTGTATAGTTTAAGAAGTTTTAAATTAAATAAATGTCCCTTTTTTTTTTAATTTAGAAGTTTTCCATCCTGTTACTGTAAAATTAAAAAGTGATTCGATGCGCTCATCTTATGTATATACTAGTTGATAACACTTTTCAATACAGTACTCATTACTACATATCACACACGATAAATCAAAACACCTATTTTTTGATACATTTGTTCTTGGTTCGTCTATAAGCTTATAATATATAACCTATTTCGTATCTTTTATTTTAAACACCGAGTACGAAAGAGACAAGTTTCTATTTATTTAAGGAAAAACTACCTGAATAAAGTTTGATAGATCTTCTCTTACAGAAAGACTTAACAATAATTAAATAGAGATAAGTTATAGCTCATACACAAATGGGTTTAAGCAATTTCGTATTTTGCCTAAATACGGCAACAAATAAATGTTGCCAATCATAGTAAATCCTAGCTTAAACCTAGTCTACCTAACTTAGGTCAAAAGTCTGTTCTAATAATACGGTTGGTAGTTGTCTGCAATAACTGTTTCGTCTGGTTTAGCTTAAGCAAATCTCAAGACCATTTTTATAATTCATTTTAACATGTCCAAACTATCAGATTTAATATTTAATATACTTTCAAATTAGCTTAGAACAAAAAAACATATCAAAAACTAATCTTTTTATTCATAAAATACTAAGTTGTTCTAACGGAATAAAAAATGGTATTTAGAGAAAAAGTTTTATTGTCTCTTGGTATAACGACTGTTAAAAACAAGTTCTGCGTTACCTTATTCTTTTTTCGAGTTAAAGGGCGCCATCTTTTATTGCGTTATTTCTCAGGTAATGCTTACTACACTGAATAGTAAGGAGAGAAAAATTTTATCGTATACTAGTAATTAACGTCTGGATTGTAACATAATATTGGTTTTTTTTTCCTTCTTCCTAATTTAACCAAATAAAAAAGGCTTTAAAATTAGGAGTTGTAAGAGATTTAGTAAAGAAAAAATAGCTCAATATATTATTTAACGAAAATAATATAATTAATCTCAAGGCAGGGAAGATGATAAGCATTTAGCATTAAGTTGATAGGCTTTTGAAAATAATTTATTAAAGCTTCATTACTATTAATAAGAAGAATAATGAAAATTATGCTTTTTGTAAATGTTAGTAACAAACAAGTATACACTCAATTTGAAGCTCCGGAAGATTACGGGTTTCCACACTATCAAAAAATCGGCCACTTCGTTGAGCATCTCATGTAATGGGGGCATTCTTTCATCATCGAGAGCTTATATAATAAAAGCGATAATATTGAATCTAAATTTCTGAAAGACAGAAAAAGGAGGGTTGTGAAGAAAAAAAAGCTGAAATAATTATTATGCTTTTACCTAGGAACTGACTTGTTATATTGTAGGAAACTTGCTAGTGTTTTTAATTCATAGCTTTCTAAAGGAAGTGCTCAATTTATCTAGTAGGCATTATTTGCTTCAAAGTACTTGTAGAGTAATATGCTCTATAACTCTTACTTAAAAAGTGAAATTTTAATGATAAGACGAAAAAGAAACAGTTAGGTATATGCGTTAAAGTTTTTATTAAAGTAGTGCTGACCGCTCTTAAGCACATAGATTAAAAATTATGACCCAGTTAAAAGCTTAGTTTTACAGTTCAATAAGTAGAGTAACTATAATATGGAAGCATACTAAATCTACACGTGCATTTGATCTACAAAAATTCGTAATAATGTAATTTCTTTCACCCATGAAGCGACCACACAAGTTTTTCCTACCGCAGTTGAAAAAACATTTTACTTTTTAACATTACGTTTTTAAATAATTAGCCAAAAAAAATTGTTGCCCAAAGTTGTTTTCCAGTACCCAGTAGCTCCATTTTTGGCGCCCTTTAAAATTATCTACCTAACTCTTTTAAAAAGTTTACCGCAAACGAAGTTTTAAGAATAAAAATTTTGAGTTTCTTCTTAACTTCTTTATTTATACTATGTTTCCACGTCCTGCCTTTATCCTCCAAAAGTCCATTAATCATTCTCTTTTTTATCGTATTCGCTTAAAGAAATATTGTTAGAATTCGTTGAAGAAGATTTTATTTCGAAATCTCCCTAAAATACGAGCGTGGCAAACATATCCTGTGTTCAATATTTTAAGTAGATTTCTATGCCTGAACAATATTTTTCCAAAATACTCTAGTTTATACAGTCCACTTCCAGGGTTTGCTAAAAATATAGCAGGCCTTTAGAAAAAAAGTGTCCCAGTACCTTGAGGAGTATTAAACTATCTAGACCTAAAAATATTTGAAACGAAAGAAATGTCTATTTTTTTGATTCTTAAAAAAATTCTCCTATTAGTAAAAATTCTGTTTTCTTTACTTTGCTATAGCTGACTTAAGCCTTCTAATTAATGGGAAGGCAAAAATTAAAAAAAAATACAGTACTCTCGTTCTTTCTCTTCAAAGTTATCAATGAAATATATTTTTTTGGGTATAACTAGCATTTATGCCTAGACTGAACTGAATTAATGAGTTATGAGAGAATTACTGAGAGCACTGTAAAAAAATTGTGATTTAGAATGAATCCCACAACTAACGCAATATAGTGCTTCGTGTAAAGAGTATGCATGGCTTCTTTATACCACTTTTTAGATGGGTGGGAGGGCTTTATCCCTTTAAGGGTTTTCTAACACGGAAATGTTATAACAACTTTCAACTCCACATATTGTACAGTCAAATTCTTATGTTAAGGTTATAAAAATAAGACAAGATTTCTCATTATAACTTAGACCAAGAGAAAGTAAGGATTATTTATAAACATGTTAGTTTTTAATATATAGGGTGGATTTACACATAGCTTGTTTAGGTGTTCTTTTACAGAAGAGCGTTAAGGGTTGTTTTAAACTAGGTTAAAAGAAGAAAACTAAACGGTTTAAAAACGTTAATTTTTCGTCAAATTATTTATATTACATGTGTTATAAGTACTTATAACATGTCCTTTTTTTTTAAACTACTGTTACATTTGTTTCCAACATATTTACTTTTTTTTATTGAAAAATAGCTAAATTGAAATATATAATTTTACTTTTTCTACAATATTATATAAAGTTATTAAAGATTTACCTTTCTAGCTTTCCGGAGGCCTTTCAATTAATTACCAATGCACTTTAAAAGTTTCTTCTTAAGTATGGAATTCCATTACTAAAATAGGGATGTAGCTCAGATTGATCACGGTCTCAATCTACAGTTAATCTCTTTTACACTTGGAAGTGGCTCATATAGAAAAAGTTTTTAAATTAACCAACTAATAATAATTTATAATTTGAAAAAGGAGTTATATTTTTAAAAATAATAATGGGCGACAATTATTCAAAGTCGGTCACAAAAGGAGCTGAGGTTTAGTTTATAATAAACATTGTTTTAATATTATAAATATAATGTTAAGGATGAAGAAAAAGCTGTTAAAAGTTCAAAATCCAAATTGTGGAGTGACGACGGTTTTTTCATATCTTCTGTTTTTATTTGTCGAAAAGCCTTTTTATTTAATATTCTTTAGGCACGTTTATCAGTCTGATTGTTAAGCTACATATATAATTAATTTAAATATATAATGCAAAACCATCAGGCCTGTATTTACTAAATATAAAATGTTAAAACCAGTTTTCTCTAAACTATTAGCATTAGCTTCTATTGTACTTGCTATTTGTTTGTACTGTTTAAATGTAGTGCGGAGATTTTTAACTATTAGTAGACTTTTCTTTTTATGCTTAACCCAAAGTTCATAACAACGCTTAATAAGTTAAAAAATATACTAAAAAAGTTTAAAAAGCTAACTTAAAGAAATTGCTTACATTTGATTTTTCCGTTGAGTTTGTTTCATTATCTAAAATCCAAATTACCTCTTTCATAACTTTATTAATCATTCAATAATTCTTTTCAATATTAATATGAATGTTTAGGTATTAAAAAAGGTGTAAACGAAGGTTTAACAAAAGAAAACTCAGCAAAGAAAAGTTTCCCTTTATTTAATTATTATTAATATCATAATAAAGAAAATCCATAGGCAACGTTTTGTTAACTATTGGAGTCCTTTTTTTGCTTTGCAACTTTTTCGAAAGATTTGGCAATTATACAGCTACGGTGACAATATGTAAATCATACTTTAATTACACTTAGAATTAAATTATGCATAACATACTTTATAAACGTACTAATTTTTTTTATGTAAAATGTTTAAAAAGTTATGATTACATATAAAGGGAGCCCTTCAAATATATTTGACCCGGGAGTTGCATTTAAGCAGTCATTTGTCATTGCAAATGGAAGCTTTATATCAAACCACAGTTTACATTTTTTCAGTATTAGGTCTGGATAACAATCTTTCCATATACAGAAATTGGGGTAATGAACTTTTAACTAGGTATTTTCCTTGTTGATGGGAGCCTTGGCCGCCTGCACACAGTTACAATTTTTCTTCTTCTAGAAATAACTGGTCTAGGTAAAAAATATTTATTTAAATTATTTTAACAAAGTTTTTATTATATAAGCGATTGCGTATATTCTTAAAATTGATTTAACTAATGAATTGAGAAATAGATTTGAGGGTAAACAGGTTTTTTTCAAATACCAAAATACTAAAGATCTATAGTGTATGCGATGTAGGTAAATTTACGTGTTAGAACCAGTATATTTTTTCTTTTGTCAAAGACTTGGCTTCTGTTCACTTTTTATAAATATAATTACTCGCTTTTTATTCAAAAGCCATGTACGTCGTAGAAACGGAAAAAAAAATATATGAAAAATTATAAACTCTAGAACTAAATTTAAATGACCTTTAGATAAGAGCTTTTTACATTAATTCAAACCAATCCTTAAAGCAGTTAAATCAACCTTGAATCGAGAATAAAGGCCTCTACGGTTTCTTCCAGCACTAAAATCTACACTCGTGAGGTCTATTTTGATCCTAGAAAATATAAAAGTGTTAGGATATAATTGGAAACAGTACGGAAAATAATCTTAAATAATCTAATAACTTGATGTTTTGCTACTCCAGAAAAACAATTATTTTTCGAATTGCATTACCTTGGTGGAAGATGATTCGCTATTTGGGAAACAAAGTTCTAATTTCTGAGGTGCAAATGGTCGTAAACTATTCGGTTTAAATTGTTCTCCATTTTTACAAGTGTAACTTCATTAGTCACTTTGGCGACAAACGTCTCGCTGGACAAAATGCAAGGACGGATAACCATTACTGGTTCTCTTCCACTTAAACCACTCAACAGCGGAATGATTTTTTTTTTCGGGTTGATATAAATTTATAAAACCCACGATGCTATAAATGTTTTTTAACGTCCCTTGTTTATTTGACTTTAAGTGTGAAACGTAATTGACACGAGCTGACTCTACAGTTTATATTATAGTTTGCTAACCCAACGGGAAACTATAATTTCTTTTATATAATAGAATCCTTAAGATATTTAAAAATTTTCCTAATCTTGCAATACGTTTAATAGCGATCCTTTTTCGAGTAACGTTGGCACAGCCCCTATGGTTTACCGAATGAACTTTCTTTTCATCAAAGACAGTAACCAACTAGCAGAGACTTTCATTGTTAAAATAACCTTTTTAAAAGCTCTTAAAAATAACTTTCACGAAAATTTGTCTGACACAATTCTATTTTTCCGGACGATAAGTTTACAATTAAAAATATACCGAGGCTAAATCGCTTTCCGCATCGTGATAAAACTTTGGCTTTAGGTTAACGTAATATTGAGGACTTTTAAACTTTTTAGTGGCGCTCTCTCTGCGTTATGCGCAACACTAAAAAGACATCCCTCGTAACGGGTGAGCACATAAATAAGAAAACCAAGTCCTAAAAAAAAAGAGCGCGTAAGCTGGAGAGAGCAAATTATATGGATTTAATTAAAAATATGTTATAAAACTATAAAAACATGAGTTAATAGAGGCAGCTACTTTTTTTTAGTGGGTTAATGTAATATTTTATATAGTTTTAACATCAATATCCACTTGGACTTCACTAAGAATAGCTTGGTTATATTTCATTGGCCTCTTTTTTGGAATTGGCATTGGTTCCGGGACGGTCGGTCCCATTTTAATATTATTAGGTACTCATTGTTTAAAGGCTTATAGTTTTGATTGTAAATACGCTATGCGTTTATAGGAGCCGACCAGTTTAAAAGCGATGACCCTGTTCATGTAAAACAAAGGGGACAATATTTTCAATATTTTTACTGGACAACGCAACTTGCCGTATTCATATCATTGGCTTTCATGAACAAGGTATTTTATGCGTAGGGTAAAAGTGTATTATTGTTTTAAAATAATTGACTATTGTTTAAAATTTACTTAAAGTTGACAATTAACTTAACATGCGCCTTTTAAAAGTATTATTTTACATCTCGGGGCAATGAAAAAATTAAAGGGTTATGGTGAAGCCCTTTTTACGCGTTCTTTTGTGATGCATGTGTAAAGTTACCAGATTTGTTTTCCATTTAGTTTTTCTTTTTAATAAATAGGAAAATTCAGGAAATAAAAATTTTTTAATAAGGTGAGCTTCTCTTAAAGGCTAGTTAAATAAAAGTAGGCATGCATGAAAAGTTATGATCAACGACATACTAAAATTTTGGTCTAAAGTTTGGTGACGCTCTTACGATGTTGCGGTTTAGTATTAACCCTGACCTTAACTCCAACCCCACTAGAATAACCTTTCTATATATATACATATACACCGGCGGGCTTATAAGAATTAATTGAAATTTAAAGTAAAAAAGTTTTAATTTTATTTAAATTGATATTTCTTCAGGTAGCCGTAGAAGGAACAAACGAAATTTCAAAAGAACACTCTTATTTTTCCTCTTCCCTCATCGGAGCGGTGTCAGTTCTTTGTGCGTGGATCGCTTTCTTAGCTCGTTCAAAGAAATTTTATATCATAAAAACGACGAAAGGTACATACTATATTGTCTGCCTCACAGAAATTTTAGTGTTTATACTATTATTATCTATAGTTTCAGTTTCAGCGCCTCTGAGATTCATGAAAATAACAATTTCAGCAGCTCGCAAGAATGCCTATGGCTGGGCTGTCCTGTCGGGGCTGGGGTGTCAGCCTATAAGCTTTCTTCTTACTATTATTAGCTATTTCTCAACTAAAACAATTCTTGGTTACATTGCCGTCAGTATAAGCGTTACGGGTTTTCCTTTTTTAGTGTTTTAGAGATAAAACAATCTTACCAGACTCTGTTTACATTAGGTATAGTAATTCTAGTTTTACTTAGGAAAACAAACTGGATATTTTCAATACTAAGTTTGAGAGGTAACAATTTTCTGTACTATAAATAGTATGTCGTAAGTGATAGTAATGATTTTTCTGTTAAACAGGAAAATCATTCCCCATCTTGGAAATTTATAGCGTTGAAGTTGTGCTAAACATTCTTCCTTATGCAGCCACCTTAATCATTTTTTGGTGTCAACACTCTCAAATGAGGACAACTTTTCACAAGCAAGGTTACTACAAATGACACTTTTATCAATTAACTATGAATCCAAAACCTTTAGGATGTCAGATGGATAGCACCCTTTTTGGCAATCTCAACCTCAGTCCCCCACAGCTGCGAATCTTTTATTCTTTAACGCTCGTTCTACTTATCCCTTTGATGGAAAGGATCGTTTATCCTTTAACAAAAAAAGCTGCGCTGCCACTCAGTAGTACTATGGGAAAAATGGGTATAGGCTTATTTACCACAAATTTGGCATTTCTGGCCTCCGCAATTATTGAAATCTATCGAAAAAGAGCCGCAGTTACTAACAAGGTGGCCTTTATAATACTTATATATATATTAATTTATAACAAAGTTAGCAAATGCTAGAAATCTCTCTGCCATCCATCAGTGTATCAAAGTAATATGAGTGTTCTTACCTTGATTCCTCAATATGTTCTACTGGGAGTTGGTGAAGTGTTTACTGCAATAACTTTTTATGATTTTTTTTATTATGAGGTCCATCGCTAATGGCAATACAATACGATTTACAAATATTCATTATAAATTAATAAAGGCTCCGGAGCCAATGAGAGCGGTTTGCCAAGCGTTAAACATGCTAATGGTGGCCATTGGTGCTATGCTTGGCTCTGCCATCAATAATGCGTCGTATGATTGGATCAGAAATGATCTTAACGGCGTCTACTTGGAAAGAACATATTTCTTTATATTTGGTTTGGGTAAGTTTGCAAAAAAGAAATATTGGGTGTTCTTTAGAATTGTTTTGAAATTACTTTCGTTTTAGGGATGCTAAATTTTGTAGGCTTCCTTTCTTTAGCGAGAAATTACGTCTATAAAGCAAAAACGTTTAACTTTGGCGCGGGAGGTACGAATGCAGAAGATAACAGAATCACGTTGTCCAACATAACAAGCGGTCAATCAGCGATTTCCTTGGTCGACAGCCGGAACACTCAACCAATAATAACCGACAATGTGGAATTTTTGTAGAAAAAAAATGAGATTTTTATATTAATAGTTATCAATAATAGCATTAAAAAAGTTCTGAAAAAGTTTCAGTCATTAATATTTTATATAACAATAATATTTGAAGCTTTCATAATATAATATTCTTTATTATGCCACGTAGTGGTAATTAATACAATCGTTATTCTCCTCTTTTGATATATAGTCTCTTTCGATAAGGCTTTCGAGTCTCTTCTTTACGTCTTGCACCTTTAAAAATAATAATAATAATAGTAATAATAATAATAATAATAATTACTGTAGCAGGAAATTTAAGTTGCTGAAAAAGTTGCTGAAGAAGTTCATTATGGCTAAGCATTCTTCTTGTTTTCATTATTCTCACAACGGCAGCGTCAATCTTATTTATAATAATAATAAAAATAATAGTAATATTTTTCTTTGTATCATATAATTTTGCCTGCCACTGGCGATCCTGATAAACTCTCTGAGTCGTGTCTTCTTGTTCTTGAAGCTAATAAAAATTTAAAAAATTAAATAGTAGAAATAATAACTTTTCTTATATTTCATATAATAATAATAATAGTAATAATAATAATAATAATAATAATAATAATAATAATAATAATAATAATAATAATAATAATAATAATATAATTTTTACTGTATCTTTTATTTGAAGTTGGTTGATCCTCACTTTTTTGCTTTTAGTTTTAAGTTCTTTTTTTAAAGTGAATATACAGTGCTCTGTTACTGCAAAGCTCTGATAATTATAATAGTGATTAATAATAATAATAATAATAATAATAATAATAATAATAATAATAATAATAATAATAATAATAATAATAATAATAATAATAATAATAATAATAATAATAATAATAATAATAATAATAATAATAATAATAATAATAATAATAATAAAAAGAGAAACGTCAGGCTCCTTTAACAAAAGCTTCACTTTTCCAAAAGTTAACGTTTGCAAAATATGCTTGAGTGTGGCCTCGTCTGTAAAAAAAAAATAAAGGGGACAAGTTTGCAGATTAAAACAATGCTAGTTATTAAAAAGTACCAAGACCCGTACGGATGGACACGTCATGGTAAGAAAATTGTTCTTTTTCGTTAAATAGCAGCAAGACAATAGCTTGACTGCAGGAAACGTAGAGTTCTTTTTCCTACAAACACGTGGTTAGCCACGTGGTTAGAAGCGGAGTAGAGTGTTATTGGTTGAATAATAAACGCTTATTTTAATGGTCTACAGTACTCTTCTTTAGGCATTATTAATTTTATTTGCGTACCTCATAATAATTTTATAATATATATAATACATATAAACAACTTCTTTTAATGAGGCGTCACGTGCGAGATTGACTTTTAAGGTGCACTGTTCCAGGGAAGGTACCCACGTGAGCTTTCGGTTGGGATTCGTCGAGGTGTAAAACTCACAAAAATTTTTACGAAAGAGTTGAACCTATTATCGATGATATATATATATATATATAGAAAAATAATGATATCAACAATGATAATAATAGCGAACAATAATAATAACTAAACAGACCTGTTCAGGGTACGCTAAATTTGGAGAAGGAGAATAGGAAGGCCAATGGCCAGCCGTAAGTACGTTTACTGAAAAGTTTTTCATAGTATTGCTGTACCACTCAGACTTTTTACAAAACAAGAAATCATAGCTATCGTAGTAATCACGTGTGTTCATATAAAAAAAACCTTAACAAAAGAAGTCATTAAAATTTTTGAAGTTTCCAAGTCGTTAAACATTCCTTCCAACTTATAAGTAAAGTTGGAGCCGCACTCTTTCAAAGTAAATATATATAAAGTAGATAAATACATATTAAAAGTTCTTTAAAAATAAAAGTAAATATAATAATAATCCAATAACGAAATAATAATAATAATACTAAAAAAACTTTAGGAGCCCAAAAATAATAAAATAAATAAATAAACATTTTTTCTATATTATGAAGAACTTATTTTTATATATATTTTTATAGTCACTATTATATTGTTTTATATTTATTACTTTAAATGTTATTATTTTATCATTAAAAATAAATTTTATTTAAATTATTATTTTTAAGTTATTTTTATATGCAAACCAGTATAAAAATAACAAGTAAATAAAAAATCAACAAAGTAAGCGATATTAGATATCAGGTAGTAAAACTTTTTATATTTATTTTTATATTTTTTTCTGTTAAACCTTTTATGCTCAGTCATTCGTATTATTCGTATTATTCGTATTATTAAAATTATATATTTTTATTTATTGTTTTTTTTTTTAATTACATTTGAAAAATATATATAAATATATAAAACTTTTATATGAAGTTCGTATATAAATTTTAAATATATATCCGTCTCTCGAGTACTTCTTTTTTTGAAGTTTATAATAAAAATCTGGGCCACCATTTTTCTGTAACAAACTTGCTTGAGTTTAAAAGAAATATATATATAAATATAATACTCAATCATTAAAATTAAAATTTTAAATCAAAAAACTTTTTTTCCATTTCCTATAAATATTTTGTAACAAACTTGTTTAAATCTAAAAGAACAATATATAAAACTCATAAAAATAATGCTCATTTCTTATTACCAGCATATTTATTCTATCAAAACCTTTTTTTTAAAGTTCATAATATAAATATAGACTTATTCGAGTTAAGAAGAAAATATCTGCAAAACTTTTATATATATAAATAATTATTGTTATTATATTTTAATAAAAAACTTGTTTATAAAGCTCATTAAAAATTTAAGACTTTTTCACGTTTACGAAAATAAAATCTTCACACAAATAAAAAAATATTTATTATTATTATATTTTCTATAAAAACTTATTATAGCTCAAAATAAAAATTAAAAAGAGAATATTAAAAACTTTTAAATATTTACATAAAATAAATCTAATTAGTGTTATCACAAAATTTTCCCTACACTTTTTTTTCCAAAAGTTCATGACAAAAAATCCAGACTTCCTTGAACAACTTTTATATATTCATATCATAACAGTACTTATTATTATTATTATTTTTTCGTCATATTTTTATATTCATAAGGAAAATCTACATTTTCTTAAGTATATTTATATTAACAATACGCATTTACTATTACCAACCTTGCTTGAGTTTTGAAAGCATGGAGCGTTCAGCGTCCAATGACAATGAACGTTCTAAAAGGAGACGCTTTGCCAAGTCCTTCTTATAAAAAGCTTCAAAAACGTCTTTTCCTATTTTTATTAAGCATAAAATATAAAGAAAGCCAATAAAAAACAGTCCAGATATCTGATATACTTCATAATTATAAATGATTTCTTTAAATTATTTGTTTATTATAATAATGAAATATAAATATCTAAAAAAAAACTTTTTTTATTAAAGAAGTCAAAGTTTTCCAATAGAAGTCCTTATTATAATATAGTAAATATATATAAAAAATTTATTTAAAACTTGTTACTAATAAAAAAAACTATAAAAAATGGAAAAAAAAACATTAAAAATTATATACTATAGTTATTAATAATTATTAGCAATTTTCGTAACTCGTAAAGTTCCTTGTTTATATTTTTTTTAATGTTTTTATATAAATTTTAATATTAATTATTTCTTATAAAAAAGAGTTAAGAAATCTATAAAAAAAATTATTTAAATAAAAAAAGTCATAATTTCCCAAAAGAAGCGCTTATTATAATATTAATTATATATAAAAATATTAATATTATTACTTATGAGTCGTTATCAATAATAATACATTAATTATGAAAATTAATATAAAATTTAAATAATTATTAGCCAGTCAGCTTTACTTTTAGAAAAATTCGTACAGTTTCTTGTATTATTTTTATTTATTCCTAAAAAAATTTCCTGATACTGAAAATAAAGAAATAAAACAAGCAACAAAGAAAACTTTTGGCCGATAGTTCATATAGAAAAGCACTATAATAAAAAAATTAATACAAAACTTTAGCAATAATATCATAATAATATCAAAAAAAAAAAATTTAAAAAAATAATAATTATTAATAAAAAATTGATCAGCAGTTTCTTTTTGCTTACTATTAAGTAGAATTAAATATACGACATTTATTTCTATAATTCTTATATTTATTCATTATTACAATTTCTTTTTCTCATAATTTTTTTATTTTTGGTAAAAGTTTTTAGTATTGTGGTGAAGAGCCCTTTAATATATTATCAATTAACTTATTTCAATGTATTGCTTATTTAATAATAAGGATAAAATTTATATATTTTTATTACACCCTTCTTGTAGTAACTAGTAAAGTTTTAATAATTTTTATTTAGCAGAAATACATTGAATATATATACACCAAAAACTAGACGAGAATAACAAAAAGTTTAATATAAATAAGAACCAATTAAATGTTTGATAATAATTATCGCTTCATAATTGAAGCCAATACACGAATGATAGGGAAGAAAATAACTAATGAGCAAACTAGAAAAAAACGTAATATATAACCAAGAGAGGACCTCATAAACAATATTAATAGTCTATAAAATATAAAAATAAATCAAGCAACCAATCAGCGACCTTGAATCGAACGAAATAGGACAATTACTTTATCAAATAAGGCATCCAATCCCTCTTCATTAATATTCTAACCAATAAAAAGCTTAGTAGCAAACGAGGACAGCAAAAAACAAGCGCTATTAGTTATGAGTTAAACATATTCATTATTTTTTACTAAAATTTTTTTTTTGGGACTCGCTGCAAAATTTATAGTGAATAGTATTTTTATTTGAAAAATTCTACCACTCAGTAGTTTAACCCAATATTTTTATTTATAATAATTATTTACCAATCATAAATGCCTTTGAGACAGACTATAAATGGCAGATAGGTGCAAACTATATTAAAAAACTCCTATGCAGCCAATTGGCTTTTGTATTCATAGATAAACTAACCCGCCAGAAAACCAGTTTAGACTAATGGGTATACAGAAAATTTCAAAATTTATAGTGTTAAGGCAGGAAACAACCAACGAAACTTCAGTATCTCTTAAAAACAATACGATTGGTTTATAATAGGCGTTTTACCTTTGAACTTTGCTTGAGTTTTCTATCAATATATTTCGCTAGAAGCTCAGAAGGTTTATTGGCCACAGAATTTATCGCAACTTCAAATGAATCCTAAAATTAGCCAGTAAATAGAGTATAAATTTGACTAATATAATACATATAAACAAACCATTTAAAAAGATAAACTCACATTTATATATAGTAAATAAAATATAAAGGAAAAAAAATAAACTTTCGATTTTTTTTTATATTAGAAAGTAAAAAAAATAAAAAAATAATAAATTTTTTGAGTTCTTTAAATAATATAATATATAAAAGTTTATAAACTTTTTATATAAGTAAATAACAAAGTTATATTGTAAAAGTTTCAGTTTCTAATATAAGAAAAAATTATAAATTTTTTTTTATTTTGTTTTCAAAATTATAAAAAAATGGTTGAGAAAACTTTTAGTTTCATAAAAATAAGAAAATGAGAAAAAAAAACTTTTCTATTGTTTTATGCTTTACTAACTTTTTAATAAAAAACATTAACGTTAAACGCAACGTTAGTTAAAAAAATTAACGAATGAGCTCACAATTCCATAAAATTGTTCAATTTTTGGATCACAATAAATTTATTGTCAGTTCTATTGGTTTAGAGAATTCATAAAATTATCGTGTGTATTTACCATATATAGTAATAAGTAAGAAAATATAATAAACTTTTAAAGTTATTTTAAAGCCGGCATTTGATGCAAAAGAACACGCCAGCGAATGATCGAGTTGATTTTTGAATTTCAGTAAATCTTCAACCATTTCGTTCTCCCGTTCGGTGCTTCTAATAATTTCGCTTCCTCAATTATTAAGAATATTATACAACAATAAGAATTTAGTGATAACATTAAAAATAAGCAACTCATTTTTATTAATAAAGTTTAAAAAATGTTTAATAAAAAAAAATTATGTTTAACTTTTTCAAAAATTCTAAAAGTAAAATTATTTTAAAATTTTGCTTTAATTTTTTCCATCAAGCAATGAAAATTTTGTAAAATTTGCAGGAAAAAAAAGTAAAAAAAAATTGTGGGTCACTAAAGATCGTTAAAAGTCGAGCATCTGCGATAATATATATTATTTAAATAACTTTACTGGCTGATTGCCTTTTTTATATTTAAAGAAAAAAGGAAAAAAAATAAAAAAAAGTATAATAATAGTAAAAAAAAAAATTAGTAAGTTTAAAGCAAAAGTTAAAAAAAAACTAAAGTTATAAAAAAATTGTATAGCAAATAAAAATAAAAATAAATTAAAAGCAAATAACAAATATAATAATAGTATAAGTAGTGAAAAAAAAATTAATAAAGTTTAATAATTAAAAAAAAATATTTATATAATAATATAAATGTATTAATTATAAATAGGTATGACTTTTTTAGTGTATAATATATTGTAGTTAAAAAGTTATAAAAAAATTTTTAAACAGAAATAAAATAATAAACTTGAAAATAATAAAAAAGGTTAAAAAAAAAGTTGAAAAAGAATGAGTTACTGTAATAAAAAGTAATAAAAGAAACCATTAAAAAATTAGAAATAAATTTAAAAGCCAATAGAAAGTGTAATAAAGTTACATATAATAAACATAAATTGTAAAAGAAATATAAAAAATAAATTTTTTATAAAAATATTCCGAAAATATAATATCAACTTTTCTAATAAATATTTAAAGTAAAAGAATTTATTATAACGACACGAATTGCTCCTGGCTAAACTTTGATTGGCCCTTGTTAAACCTTATATATTTGAAAAAACAAGATGAGCACACGTGTGGCGTTTCTGTGAGTCATGTGCACAGCTTGAGATAGTAAAGCGTTTCCAATGAATTATTAATAAAAAACATATAAAAGTTATACAGAAGTTTACAGTAAAAAGCAAATAAAAAGTGAAAATTGTTAGTAATGAAAATATTTAATTACAATTAAACGTGAGAAGCTTAAAAGATAGTAAAAATAATAATAAAAAAGGACAAATTTTTTTTTTACTATTTTTAATTATATTTTAATTTTTATTATATATTTTTAAAAGTTTTAATAATATTATAATCCTTTATAAATATAAAGAATAAAGAATAGAATTAGAAAAGATTAAAAAAAAGTTATAAAATAATATATGAAAGGAGAAAAAATAAATCTTTAAAATTATCATTAATGAAATAAATAAATAATGACAAATTTATAAATATCTATATAAATATAAAGAAAAGAAGAAATAAAGTAATATAAAAAAAATAATATTTATATAAATATTATACTTACGGTAAGAATAAAAAAATATAATAAACATATATTATTGAAATAAACATTTAATATAAAAATAAAATAATAAAAAGATGTTAACTTTATATGCCTATTATGAAAACTAGAATAAATAATGACGTAGATTTAGCACTAATAAATAATATACAAAATAAAAAATAATATTTATATATACTAATATAATACTTCAAATCAAAATAAATCTTTTAAGATAATAATATTTAAAAATATAAAACGTTAATATATAGAAACTTTTATATAATAAAAATATTAAATGAAGAAATATATATTATAATAAAGAATTTTTTATTATGTTGGCTTTAAGCCCTCTTTTCGCGTGGTTCTACTGCGCTGTATAAATAATAGCAGTAAAAGTAGTGTCTGCACTGTACCACTCCTATAAATGGTAGCTTTTAATGGCCACCCCTGAATATTGATAGGTCAGACATTCTTTGTAGATTTATTCCAGGTGGCTCATGGGTGAATATAATAACAATGGTTGTTTTGAAGAATTCGGTTCTAAAAATGATGTAAACATTTAACTTATCTCTCTATTGGTGGATATGTTTCTCCGTCTCCTATATTATTGGACTATAAAAACGCATGATCAAAAATAGTGTAAACATTTTAGTTATCTCTCTATTTGTAGATATATTTCTCCTTCTTCTATTACAGGACTATAAAAACGCATGATCATCAGTTTAAAAACGCATGATCATCAGTTATTATAAATATTTATGGATTTACTAGTAAATATGATTTTCTCAATTTTTTTTCTGTTTAATATATATTTTGTTTACTTTTATAAAGCTTTGTATATTTATAATGAATGTTTTTTTTATTAAATTATCGTTTTAGATTTTTATTATTTTCTTTTTAAAAACAGAAGAAACAAGTATATAATTATAATGAAATGTAAAAAAAACTAAAGGAAAGTTAATGATAATTAAGGAATATAATATTTATAACCACTATTGTAACAAAAAAGTAACAAATATACAAAAAAAGAGAACAATTTTAAGTATAAAACTTTTTTAAATAATAAATATTATATACTAATAAAAATAAAATAAAAAGTAAAATAGCGGATACTTCTATAGAAATAATACTTTTACTTATAAAAAAAAATATAATACTAAAATTGTACTTCTAAAAATAGAAAAAGATAACAAATATATAACGAAAAGTAAAATTAAATATATAATACAAAATAATATTATAACTTTTAATAAAAGTAAATTTCATGCTTAACAGTTTCATAAAAATAAGTAGCAATAATTTTCTTTATCATAATCATTATTTTTTTTGTAAAATATAAAAATAATACAATATTAAAAAAAACTATAAAAACCCAAAAGCACCAACCTTTAGTCTTTATATACATTGAAAAATGCTGCTTCAACTCAACAAGTGCGCCCACGCGCTCAAATAAATTATACATAATCTTTAAATAATCATAATGTTGACCTTCGAGAAAATTAGTGAATCCTAGAAATCGACAAGAAAAATTAATTTGTAATTAATGAATATGGCTGTATAAAGAAAATTATGAAAGGTTCACGTTTTTTGTTTAGCAGAGACAACAATTATAATTAACAATAAAAATAAAAATTGCATTAATAATAATAGATTATAAAAAATTTATAAAGTTTTGTATAGTATTTTTTGAGTTCATATAATAATAATCAATGTTTACCATATAAAACGTGTAATACATAATAATGAATATTTTCCAGAAAGTAGTGTAGGATAGAATAATAAAAATAATATAAAATAATAAACAAAAACTTTTACTTCGTAACTTTTTTTTATGATTGTTATAGCCAATAAGAATTAATATTAAATAATATTTTAATAGTAAAATATTTATATATAAACCTTGAACTATTCATAACTAAATATATAATATAAAGTCGTGTAGTTGCAATATAATATAATAGCAGTTATAGTTTCAATAATAATAAATAGTCAATGGTAATTATGAAATAATTATAATGTATTTTAAAAAAAATAAGAATATATGACAGTTGAAGTAAAAAAGTAGTATTAATATAAAATACAAACACAATAGAAGAAATTATATTAAAATAAAATATTGAAATAAACACTGATACTAATAAAATAGAAAAGTAAATGTAAAAAGCCATAATACAAAATACATAATTAAAGTATAATAGAAAAAAAAGAAAAGAGTGTAAAATTAAAAAAAAGTAAAGAAAAAAATGTAAACCAAATGACATATAATAAAGAGTATTGATAATAATAATAATAATAATAATAATAATAATAATAATAATAATAATAATAATAATAATAATAATAATAATAATAATAATAATAATAATGAAAAAACCTCTTTCAAGAAGAGTGGTAGTGTGAATTTTCAAAAGCTCAAGCTCAACGACGGCCACCAGCGACTTTAAAGTTTTACTTTCTAAATATTCTAACACGCGTTGTTGCTCCTCGTGCAAGCGTTGGCTCACGTGGTTTAAGTAGGCATGAACCTGGAGTTAGTAAACTTTTTGTTTTTAATGATAAACTCTAAAATTTTTTATTGTCTGTAAAAAGTTGTATAGATTATAATATTATGAAGTTATTAACATCGACTCTTTCTAAAAGGGAATGCCCTTCGTTGTAGTAATAGACTTTTGTGGCTTTCAAAAAAGGTTTTTGAAAAAATTCCTCATAAACCTTTATAATAAAAAATAATAGTAATATAAAGTTACTGCTATTAAGAAAACAATATTAATATATATATATATATATAAAGTTTTACGTTTATTAAATAAAAAAAAAAAAAAAATTCTAATTATTTTTATAAATAGAAAACAATACTAATATATATATATAACAATAAAATTCATATATATATTAAATTATTACTATAAAATTCATATATATATTAAATTATTACTTTTACAATTATAACAATAAAACTAGATTATATTTATACATCGAGTATAACTTTTATTTAATAGAAAAATATAAAAGTTTTACTTTTATTAACTAAAAGACAATAGTAATATATTAAGATATAAAAAGTTTTTCTTATATTAAATATAAAAAATAAATACAAGAATACTTTCAGTAAAGCAAGCATAGAGATTAACTTTTTTACCAACCATTTTTCAATAGTCGCTCCGTTTCTGTTAGTAAAAAAAAATAGAGAAAAAAGTTTTTAATAAGAATATATATATAAATAATAAGCGCCTAAAATAAGGAATATTTAATAATATTATTATGAAAATAAATTCAATAAAAGATAATAGAATAGCAGTTAATAAAACTTCAAATATTAATATACAGTATATATAAAAAATTTGAAACAGTATTTATACAGTGAAAAATAGTTTAAAAAATTATAGACAATATACTGATAATATATACCACTTTATAGTTTATATATATAAAAAAGGACACTTATATAAAGTAAATATTATAAAAAAATACTAAAAAACCAAAAAAAGATATGATAATAACTCAGTATGATAAAAAACTTAAAAAAAGATTTCAAAATTATTAATAATTTTATAACAATTACAATAAAGTTTTAAAAGCTAAAACTTTTATAATGACGTATAACAAAGCTTTAAATAAATAATAATTAAGAAAAATGAACTAATAAATTTACTGTAAAAAAATTTTTACTTTTTTATTTCTTCTCTATAAAATTTCAAATTTTGAAAGAATTTATATATATTATTAATATAAAAAAACCTTTCGTCATTTATAAGGTGAAGAATACCAGAAATAAGCTTCTCTTTGTAATAAACAGAAGCAACGAAACAGTTATAAAAAGATTTTATTCCCAAATCCCTTTTATATGAATACACATATTATAAGTATTATAAGCGCGTGTTAAAAAGTGTAAAAATGTTGGGAAATTCGAAGGCGCGCAAAGTCACAAAAATTAAATGCAATCTGTCACGTGCTCAAGAAAAATATTTTTATTTTTAATTAGTTCAAAAAAAAATTTAAGAATGTTTGGGATACTACAAGTTTTATAAGAAACTGAAAAAATAATTATAAAATTATGAATTTGGAAAAAAAAAAAATTAAACTAATGTAAATAAAATTGCAGTGAAGAAAAAATATAGTAAACACTTGTGACAATCGATAAAAAACTAATATTTATAATAGTAATAAAAAATAGTAAAAAAATGTATAATAAAAAAATAAAGAAAAAATATAAAACAAATAGTAATAATAATAAATAAATAAATTAATAATTATATTAATAATAAAAGTATTAATCGCCTTTTAATAATTCTTGCCGGTTTTTTTTTAGTTAGATATAAAGTGCAAAAGCAAAACATTTAATATTATTTTTAAATATTAAAAATTCAAAAATAAAAGTAAAATAATAACAAATCATAATAGATTCTCTTATAAAAATAATTATTTGATTAGTTAATTAACTTTAAATTAGAACTACTTTTTTATATATTGAATAAATTTATAAGTGAATAACTATAAAGTTATAATTATTTAATACTCGTTTAGAAAAATTAATATATAGAATTTTAAGGTTTTAAAGAGGTTATAGCTTTAATCTTTTTATATAATTTAAAATTAAAGTAAACTAATAAGTATTTACAATTTATAACTTTTTATAACTGTTGTTTTATAGTTTTAGACTTTCAACTAAAATACTAAAAAACTTTACCTCGGTAATTAATTTTAAAAAAATTATTTGCTTATAAAAAAATTAAAAAAAATTAAATTAGTAAAATAATTGTCCACAATGAATTTCTTACCAGATCGAATCTAATTTGCGATTCTGTGTAACATAAGTACGATCTAAGTACATAAATATACTTCGTTTGGCTTGCTAAAGTAAAGAAAAATAATATTTAAAATAATAAAATTTTTATATAAAAATTAAAAAAAGAATTTAATAATTTTTTAATTGACTATAAATACAAATAGATATATAATAAATTCTTAATAAATAAAATTTAAATTCTTTACATTTAGATAGTTTATATACAAGTAATAAGTAATAATATAAAACTGAAATTCAAAGATTCTCAATTAAAAAATAAGTTAAGGTACGAAATAAAATTATATTCATTTTGTTTAAATGTAATAAAAATGTTATATATGAAGAAACCACATTAATAATAGTAAAATTCATTAACTTTAGTGAGTTTAAAGAAAAGAAATAAATATTGTTAAAAATCACGAAAGTTAATTACAAAAGTCTACTTATTTATAGTTCAGTTTAAAAAATATGTATACTGTAACCAAATTAAGTTATATTAAAACCATTTTTTTTCTAAAAAATATTCTGCTTTTTGTTGGAACAAATTTTTTTAGAGAAATTTTATAATTACAAAATTAAAAATACTAACCATTTCCTTGCAATGCTGATCCCAATAAAAACACATATGCCTTAAAAATTCATATTTTGATAACGAATGACTTTCTTTATAAAGCTTTTCAGCTTTATATTTTGTGTTGTTCACGATTAATTCCTTTAATTTTTCATATAAGAAAGCTGCTTCATTAAATGTGCATAAATTCTCAACTATTCTGTAAAGTTCCTCAAGATAAACGGGCAAGTTCTATTAAACAAGCCGTTTAGATAAAAAAGTGTAATATTTAAATTAGCTGTTGAAAGTAATTGAAAATTATCGTTGTACAAACTTTGTTGCTATACAAAATATTATTGCACCTTGGAATTGTCGATGGCCTGAATAGCTTTTTCTAAAGTACTCCATGACTGTTGTTGATAATCATCAGGTAACTTTGATGAAACTTAAAGAATCAAAAGTTAAACAATTATAATTCTAAGTATATATATAATCTAGATTACGAGGTGAAAAGTTTTTAATAGTTAATAGTTTAACTTCTGAAAAGTTATTTTGTTGGAAGTTTAAGGGGGTTTTAAGGTTACTCTGCATGTTCAGCTCATAAAACGTTTTAAGGCAGGCTTAACAAGTTTTTTAAGGTTCGGGCTTTAAATTTGTAACACGAAGAAGAATGATTCGCTAACCCACGACTCCTATGTTTGGTGTGAGGGTTATACGCTTGAGGACAACACTATAGTTCATACTGAGGTAACGCTCCGACCTTTTTATTTTCTTCTTTGCGTAAAATATTTGTTTCTTTTTTTTTACTCCACACTCTTTTTTTAATTATTGTTTACTAGTTCACAGGACTAATAGCAACTAAAAATCCTAAGAAATATGAATTAATTATAAATTTTTATTTAGAAAGATTCTTTCCTGACTTAGAATTTATTTTTATGTTGTATTTAGAGAGATCATTTATGTAAGGGATTATCTTCTACTAAGTATTTGTTTCTATAAAAATTCCAAGTTAAGAATCTCAATTAAGATGGTGACATTTTGCTTTAAAGGGAGTTTGAAGTGGCAACAGTTAAAGAGTACAGGAGTAAAATAGATTTCTTGGCCTTAGCGAAGCGTACTCTCCTTTGGTAGGTTTAAGGGAGATACCCCGTGCTTGAGCCCTTAACCATATACCCTCTTCACTCTAAACGGCCGGCTTGCGCTCTAATACTAGTGTTTGAGACACAACACGCTAGAGAAAAACTAAACAGATTAAGATTAACTAAATGCTCGCCAGAGTTTTGAGAAATAATTACCATTGGAAGGGATAGGAGGGTTTCTAAGAGTCCTATCGAGTTCTCACGGAAGCTAGAAAGGAGAAAGTTTTCATCAACGTTTGGCAGTGAACAATCATATGCGAAACACTGAAGGTCACAGTAGAGTGCTATAAATAGGGTCAGCGCCTCCCCTTGAGGGATCTACGGATAAACTACAGAATCGACAGGGCACCCTATCTACTTGAATTAAATAACCCCTCCAGTAGGGGAGCAAGGGGGTTTCTCTTCCTTCTCTTCACGGTGTGGCTAAGAGGATAAACTGTGAGACCCTACAGGAATAGTGCTATGGTTCTAGCTTGCACTTAAGTAAAATCTTAATCTGAAAATATTCTATATTAACTGGATAATAACTAATAACTGATTTTGACACTAATTACAAGTGTGTTCGCGCTATAGATAATTATTGCCACTTAACGTTCCGTCACTGTACGAAATTCTTTAACATTTGCAATGGGCTGGGCCAAATAAAAATCACAAACATACGAATGCGGTGCAGAGAGCGAAAAACCTCAATTTCTTGTTTTATTATTATCTTATTTTTTTTTATAAAGTTGACATACTGCAGTCAGGCCTTAATCAAAAAGCCTAAAGTAATTGTTTAATATGATTTACAAATTGGAAAAAAAAATCTTATACGTCCCGAGGGCGGTGAAAGGGTGTTGCAGTCTCCTAAATTGAGTGTAACAAAAGTTGTATATGTAATTTAGCGACCAAAGATGTAACTTGTCACCGTAGCTTAGTGTCCATTACCATTCAACCTCAAGGTCGCGCTTCGATTCCCGTGGGTGCCAATTCGCATTTTTCTTAGCAGGTGGTTATGTGTACAACTTCCCTACAAACAAAATTCTGATAGTGTAAACGTCTGTGTCATAGGTTATGTCTTAAAAAAATAAATAGTTGGAATGAGCAACTATTTTTACACTGTAATGGGACGAAATTACTCAGGAAGCATTACGATGTGGGTGCGTACTACCCCGTACAAACCAAGGGTAACCTATAATAATCCATCACATGGGTTTTGAATAGTCTGAAGTCGCTTTGATGTTTAGATGACTACCATATGTAATAGACTAAAAGCTACCATTAAAAAAACCAAAATTAAAAATTTCAAAGTTTAGAATATTTTTGAACATTGCTAATTTTTTTGAAATTACTATTAAAATTTTAGTATAAAAAAAAACCGATGCAAAGATAAACCCTATCCTTAATTTCTTTGTTTCATTCTGTTAATAGCCGGCCTAATATTGTAAATAAAAACTTTCTTGTGTATAGATAAAGGAAAGCGGTAGTTAACGTGACGTCACGAGAACTGCTTGTCGATCCAAGCTCGTGAGTAAGTAATTTCCGTGTGCTGGAGACTGTTTAACCGCAGAGTTACTGCAGATGATTTTGTTTTATGACTTTTTTATTGTACAAAATAGCTTTCTTTTCAGTGAGTTAATATTACTTTGCCCTTGATTAATATAACTCAAGTGCAGAACTACGCCCGTGTTTAAAGCTAGAGGAAGGAATTTGAAGCCGAAATAAACGATCGTATCTACCGAAAACACGGACAAAGTGGAGGTATTTGCAGGTTAGGGTATGTTTACTGGGATTTTGTTTATAAGGAAGATGTACACGTAACCACCAAACAAGATATATGTGAATTCGCATCGATGGGAACCCAACCCGCCACCTTGAGATTGCGCGACAAATGCTCTAACCATTGAGCTACGGTAACAACTAGTATTTTCGGTCGATAAATTACGTGTACAACTGTGTTAATGCTCAACACGAGCCAATTGGAGATGCAGTGAGCTGGTGGGGCTTCCGTAGCCTGTTCTTTTAAAAGTGAGATAGCCGTTCTCGCTCTGAGGTAAAAAGTCGTTTGATGCCGAAAAGGTTGAAGAAGGAAGAAGATAATTTAGTAACTTCAGATATAATAATTTAATAAAGAGTTCAGTGTGCCATACTTGTCGAACGCTTTATTCACATCAGTAAAAATGCACGTTTCTTTCTTATTATAAAATTTTTTCGTAACGTGTTCGGAATAAGCCAAAAACTGTTTTTTTAGTAGAGTGGTCCTTTAGAAACATAGATGAATTCATATATACGAACGCTCAAAAAAAAAACTTTAGCAAAAGCCTGACAAAAGACTTATAAGACGGTAGTCTTTATACTTTAAATTAACAATTCAATTAAAAATGCACACGAATACTGAGGTTCTCTATCTCTCGGAAATTGTACAATGCTCTAACAGTTTCGGGAAAGTGTTTGAGGTTGGTTACGCTGTAAGGCCTAGCGTTTTTTTAGCTCATAAAAGGTTTAAAATTGATCTCACTTTTCCTATATAGGAATATTTAGAAGTTACATTAGAAGTATGTTAATACGATAAGTGCCACAGGAGCTACTTCTTTTGTAATTAGGCAGCGGCTAAATAAATTTTTTACAAAAATATCCATTTAAACTTTGTAGTTGTAGTCATAAACGGCCTCTGTCTTAAAGGTTAATGAGTGAGGGTTTATTGCGATTTTATGGATTTGACGCGTCGGCAAAGGTAAATTTCTTTCATGTTTTCTAGCTCGGTGAAATTTCAATTCCAAAGTTTTTTTGCGCAACTTATGAAGGCTTAATAAATTCGTTTATCTTCGGGGCTCTCAAAGGTTACAATCTCCGTTTATGTCGTCTTCTTAAATTCAGGAGATATACAATCTCCTCCGACAAACGTGTTTTACGCGGTGAGTTTGTTACTATAACGAAAGCCCTTCTTATTATTTTAGCCCATATTTATTTGTAATGGTCCAGGGGGGCTAGATTTAGGAATGCCTATCTTGTAAAGCACGGGAAAGTGGTATGAACTGAATTCAAATATACTAGCGGGGTGAGGTGTAAGTCAATTTCTATCTTTTGTGGAGATAATGTCAAATATCTCGAAGGTTCCTTTTTAAAATACGTGCGTGGATTGTGAAGAATCGAAAACAAGGGGATCTTTTTCAGTATTATTATAGAATTCAAGGTTATTAATTTCGAACTATACTATTCCATAAGGGATTTTTACAGTTTAAAATTAATAGAGATAATTACAGCTTTATAATGGTTAAAAATAGTGCTTGGTTCTTTAAGTAAGACGATTACACCAGGGAACTTTATGCAGAGAACGATATCCCGTCCCCCTTTGCCACGAAGATAGATCTTATTAACCACAGCTTTAACAAACTTAAAAATATTCAGCTCTAAAAAATGAGCGTGCTATTTAATTTCTAATAAATATAGTACTTCTTTTCCTTGTTTGATCAAAAGATTATATATAAATACGTAATATACTGTACTTAGAAATTGTTTTACTGCCAACGACACTAAAGTTTAAAGCTGCCCTACTAATGGCCCGTTTGCTAGAAACTACTATTTTTGTGACCTCGTGCAGATCGTTGCTTTCATTCTCGTCAATGCTTTTTTCTCTACACTGTCCCTTGGTCACATTTGCACCTAACAAATATTTAAAGCTTACCGTATACAAAAAGGGGCTGATTCTGCCACCTACTTATAATATAGTGCTTTTTTGATTAGTTCTTTTAAGATTTGAGTTCCTTTTTACTTTATGTTTTCAGTATCTAAGTTCTATTTATATATTTTAAAAGCTCTTAATTTTGTGCTATTATCGGCTGTGCCCAGCTTTGACTTAAATGTGCTTTAATTATATTCTTGTTAAAACCTCATTAATACTTATTGTTATTTTCTATTTATATTTATTTTAGCTCTCGGAGGGTTTTATTGGAGGCGCTGCCTGCACATTGCGAAAATTAAGCGCGTAAGCGGTTCCCATCGTAAATTCCTAATGTAATGGTGATAAAAACTGATGACGGTGGTGCAGCAAGCAGTGGGGTTACGGGGGTACACGCACTATAACGCAAACTCATTGCAACTAACAATGCAACTAAGGGTTTGGAGTTAAAAGTTTTATCGAAATAAATAAATGAGTAGTTAAATAAATACATGAATCAATAAATATTTAAAATAAGTAAATAAGTAGTAAAATAAATAAAAAAATATCGAAAATCGTGGCCAAATCTTTTTTTTTTTTTTGGTGGCAGTTTTTAATAGTTTCCTTACTACGTAAAGTTAAAGGGCGATTAGTACACTCCTTCGTAATACAAATACTGGTAAGCACTTGTGTTTCAACCTTATATATAGAAAAAAATTTCTCATATACAATTTTGGCATAAAGCAGTTAATTTTTAGAATAATGCTTTTAATGCTTTTAATTACAAGTTTACAAGTTTGCTATCCATAAAGGAATATAAATTATGTAAAACTTTTAGTAGTTCAAAAAAGTAATGGAGGTTACTTAACTGATAGGAATTAAGCTTAATTAAAATAAAGTTTGTATCGATTATTTGGGTAAGAAAAAAGATTAACTTATCGATTTCCTTTCCTTTAAGAGAATTTAACTTTTAAGTCTTGTAGAAATTCTTACCTTTACAATAAACTTTTAGCCTTAGATAAAGTACTATAAAAAAATTAGGGGCATACAGAGATAAACTTGAGTATTCTGCGAAGGCAATTATACTCGCCGGTTTTAAAAATTATGGAACTTGTTCTACTAACTACCGTTGTTAAGTTAATTTTCAGTATTCACTGTCTAATTAAATTAATGACTTGTATAACATTTTTAATAAGAAATTTTGATTTCTAAATTAGTTTTATACCTTTCATTGAAATGTAAAGTACGTCTGATAACACTAGTTTTGTATTAGATGAAATTATTCTTCCTCACATACGATTGATAGACTTTCCTAAATATTATTTTATAAAAAATAAAATATATTAAAGAACGTTCTAAAGAAATTTAAGTTCATAGAAATGAAACTTGCTTGTTTTTTTCTTTTCGTATGATAAGAAGGTTGGCTCTAAGTGTTTAGCAGCGCAAGGCAAAAGGAGCTTGCGGGTTGGGCTTTATTATCTGTCTTTAGTTAATTGTTCGTATCCAGTACAGACTTGTAAATTTATATATATATAAATATTATTATATATATTATAAAGTATAAGCGCTTGAACTTTTTTTAAGTATCAAGAAGTAAAATTTTAAATCATGAATATAAATACTTCTTACCTCTGGAGCTTAGCGAAAGATAAATTGGATCCTGTAACCCAAGTTTTTTTGAATTCTTCAAACATTGAACGTAAAGTTAGAAGCTCTACTAATCTTGAGAGTTGGGGTCCTTCAAGTACTCAAATGGGAGAAATAGCAAAAGCCACTTATAATTAGTAAATATTTTAATTTATTTTTTTTAACTCCGAATTAAAAAAAAATAGTTTTTAACTATAATTTATTGTAGCTCTGATTTTTTTAAAGTAATGGAAACTTTATATCAACGTTTTCAAGAAACTCATTGGCGACATGTCTATAAATCTCTTCTTGTTTTGGAATATTGTTTAAAAAATGGTTCAGAACGAGTTGTTGATGATGTTAGAGTAAATATCTATAAACTTCGAAGTCTTTTATCTTTTCAATATATTGATGAAAAGAAAAAGGATCAGGGAATAAGTGGTATTGCTCGGCTTAGAAAAAAATTTATTTAAGAGAAGTGATATTAAGTTTTTTTTTTGAAATCCAGGAGTGTTTATAAAATTTTGGTTATTTTTTTTTAACAGGGGTTATAATTTTACTTCATTAGCAATAATTAACTTAATTCTTTGATTTGATATCGTTCTTTATATTTTTTTATGTAGATAAATTTTTTATTTGTACTTCTTTGCTTATATGCTATACCATTAAAAAACTTTTTAGTATTTTTTTTTAATTTCTTTTTTCTTCTACTATTTTAGTACGTGAAAAAACTCGGAAATTAATTGATTTAGTTTATGATCAAGAGAAATTAAGAAAAGAACGAGAGATTGCTCGGAGGAATCAAGGGAAGTACATTGGTGCTAGGTAACTTTTTATATTGTTCTTTCATAATTTAAATTTTCGGTATAAAATTGTTATATAATTTATTATGTAATTTGACGGACTTGTTTTTTTGTAATTAAGGCAATATGAACTTAATTTTTATGACATTTTAAAATATTTTTAAAATACTTTATTTATATTTTTTATAGTTTTTTTTATTTGATTTAAATATGATAAATTAGAATTTTGTAATGTTAAGTTAATTTTTTTTTTGTAATTAATTCAAATAAATGTATATATATTTTTTTATAAATAAAAATGATAATATATTATAAAACTTTCAAAGCTTTATAAATTATATTAAAACATAATAAATTTACTTTTCTGCTTTTTATAAATAAAATTTTTATTTAACTATAATATAATTTTTTGCTTTAATAAAAAAAATTCCTTTTTAGTACTTTTAAAAACTTAAATATTTTTTATTAAAAGAAAATATAATTTTTATTATTGCTACTTAATATAAAAATTTTTATTTTATTTATTATAAAATTTAGTATTTTTAATTTTTTATAGTAATCATAATGATACATTTTTATTAATTAATACTATAAAAACTATATTATTATTTTAAAATATTTTTATTATAAATTTTATAAACGTATATATATTAGTAAGTTTTTATTTTTTTTAATTATTATAATTCTTTCTATAATATGGAATTTTCTTGCTTTTAACAAAAATATTTGTTTATGGTATTTTTAAAAATTTTAAAGTAAATTTTAAAAAAATATATAATTTAATCTGTTTATTTAATAAATAATTATTTTTTATATAATTAAAAAAATTTAGAAGTAAATTATTATTTTATTTATAAAGTAAATACGATTTTAACTTAAATAATTTTAAATTTATTCTAACAATAAAAATAAAAAATATTATTATTTTTTATTCATTCTTATAAACTTTTTAGCGCTACTGATGCCAGATACGCTGGAATTGGAACTCCGTTTCAGCAAGATTATTTTAATGCACCGGGCAGAGATCAAAGTTGTTTTCTTTACTTTTTATTTTTTTTTTTTAACAGGTTTGTTTTACTAACATTGAAATATTAAATATATTTAGAAAAAACTATAAAAAACTAAATATTAAAAATAGCTACAAAAAATATATTATATAAATATAATAATAATAAAAAGATATAAATGTATTAATAAGTATAAACTATAAAATAATAGAAACAAAAAAAATATAATTATAATTAAATAAAAAAAAATATGAATATTATTGAAAGGTATGAAATAGTGAATATTTGAAATAAATATAATAATAAAAAATACAAAATAGTATAAAATTTTAATATTTTTGTTTATTTATTTAATTGTTTTATAATTTTTAATTCATTTTATTTTTTACTATTCATAATTTTTAAATGTTTCTTATATTTTTTAAAAATGTTAAAGTTTTTGTTTTACAAAAAATAATGTACAGTATAATATCATTATTGAAATAAAAATATATAAATTATAATAATTATAATTAAATAGTAATAATATAAATAATATATAGTAATATAAAATTTTAAGAATTATTATTTATTTATTTATTAATTATAATAAATTATCTTTAGTATTTATTATTATTTTAAGCGTTTTTTAGAGTTTTTGCTTTACAATAAAAAAAATCTTTTCTAAAAAATTTTTTATATTTATGTAAAATTTTACATTTTACTACAAAATTTATATTTAAGCAATTTTTTATTATATTTTTCTCATTTACTAGTTTTAATATTTTTAATGCGTTAAGCATTTTATTTTCTTTTTTATTTACTTTTTTTTAAGTTTTTTCATTATTTTATTAAAAAAAAGTTTTAGTTTTTTTTTATTTTATATTTTATTGTAAAATTTACTTTTTGAATAATTTTTTTTTGTTAAATATTTTTTTTAAAAACACCTTTTTTTAATTTTTTAATTTATTATTATCAATTTTTTTTTTAAAAAAATCTTTTATAAACAATATATAATTTTTATTTTTTTTATATTTTCTGCTTATTATTTTTTTCAATACTTTTATTCTTTTAAATTTTTATTATTATTAATATAATTATTATAATTATAGTTATTTTTAAAGAAATATTTATTTTTTTGAAATATTATTTTATGTTATTTATTATTTATAATATTTTAAATTTTGTAATAATTTTAAAAGTAAATAAAAAAAATTACGACCATAAAAATTAAACTTATTGATACTTTTAATAAATCTAGCAGTTAGTCGGCCCGAAAAAATGTCAAACAGGTACTTTTTAAATTTTTTTTAGCGTTACTGCATCATAGTGGTTATTACTGTTAATTATTATTAAAATTATTATTTGTTACTTATTGATATTGTTATTATTAATATTGTTTATTATAACTATTTTATTCTTCTTATTATTAATTAATCTTGTTATTATTACTATTATTATTCTTATTTTTTAATTAATTACTATTATTTATTGTTTAAATTATTATAAGCATCCATTATTATTTATTATTACTGTTATTATAATTAATTATGTCATTAATATTATTTATTACTATTTAATTAATTCTTTGATTACTATCAATATTGTTATTGATATTATGTATTTATTATAATTATTAATTCAAATTATGATTAATACTATTATAATTAATGTTATGCGTTTATTATTATTTTAAAAAAATATTATTGTTATTTATATTGTCGTGATCAATATTATTTAATATTTATTATTATTATTGTTATTGATATTAATAATATTTTTTTAAATTTTATATTATTATTATAGTCATTTATTATTATCAATACTGTAATTATAAATATGGTTTATTGTTTTTTAATTATGAAATCGTTATTAATTATTATCAATATTGTTATTACTGATGTTTTTTATTTATCATTATAAACATTAACAATAAAAATCAATATTGTTATTAATTTTTTTATTTATTAAATAATTACATTGAATAATTCTCATTAATATTCTTATTATTATTATTATTTCTTATTTATTATTATATAAATCATTAATCGTTTATTACTCCTTGTTATAATTAATATTATTAATTTTTATTTTCTCTAATTAAATTGTATTATTATTAATATTTTACTTTCTTTCTAACTTTTATTAAAGAGAATTATCGTACTTTTCACAGGAAGAAGGAAAAACAACTGCATTTAGTAATTCATTATTATTTAACTTTTCAGTTTATAATAATATTTTATATTTTGAAGGTGCTCAATCCGAAAGTCCGCCGCGAAGGACGTATAAATTATATAATTATAATGATAAAAATAATAATACTTTTTTAGGAATAAAGCTTTAACAATAACTTCTCGTGCGCGTGAAGTTCAAACTTTTTCACGCGGTAAAATTATAATCATTACTATTATTAATGTTATATATTTTTTTTACTTGTTACTAAGTTTTAAAAAATTATTAACACTAGAATTATTATAGCTTTTTACATTTTTTAATTATTATAGAGAAGGAGCGGGAGGCCTCGACATCATCCGCGGAAGAAGGCACATGGATAATTACGTAGCCAATAAGATAATCATAATAATAATTTTGTAGATGAATGGGGTGAGTTTAAATGTGCTGTTGTCTCTTCGGCCCAACCAATTAGGAATTCTAATGCTATCGACTTACTTTCTACTGATTTTCCTGTGATCAATGGCAACGAACGACTTTTTAAACACGACATTCCAACTTTGGATATAGTGGGAGGGCTCGTCCAACAGCCTTTTGAAAACGGGGACGATTTAGATTTTATTGGGCCCGATTTATCTAGCCGACCGTCTAGTCAATTAAATGTGGATCTTTTTGCAACACATAAACAACCACCCACCAATAGAAGCGCAGACCTTCGCATTAGCCCTGCCGAATTACCTTTAAGCAATGCCAATATAACCAGTAGGGTTCCGATTACTCACGATGCTCGCTCTTCCCTAATCTCGTCTCAAAATGCTTTTGATAAACAAGTAAAATTATATAAGAAGAAAAGTATATTTTAATTATAATTGTAATACTTTTATTTATAATTATTAAAACTTTTTTGTTTTCATTTTTTTGCCTTCATTTAAATTATTTTTTTTAAATCTTTTCAATTTTATACTGATAATAATATCAATTATAAATATATTTTTGATTAAAAAGTTTAGTATGCTTTCTTCGATACATTATAAATATCATTTTGTTATAAATTAATTTTTAGGTTACTTTTTTTTTACTTTTATTTAGTACTCAAATAGGAATTCGGCCTTTTCTGATTTAGTTGAGCTTAATTCCCACCAGTCTCAGAAAGCTGAAAAGAGCGCCCTATCGTTAAACGTCCTACTGAATACCAAAAAACAACAACCTATTGATAATAATTTATCTTAAATTAAATAATTCTGGTCTTATTTTTTTTTATTTTCTGTGGGTTTATAAGGGAAAAAAATTATTTTTTTTAGAAAGATTTCTCTGCCCTTTTAAAAAAATGTATTAAAAGAAATATTTAAGCTTAATTATAACTTCAAAAACAATAAAAAAAATTTCATAAATATTAATTTCAAAGTTAATGATCCTGCTGACTTTTTATTAATTTATTAAATTTGTGACTGTTAAAGAAATTTTAATGATTTCTTTAAACATCTTGAATTTTTTTTAGATAAGTTTTATTCATAATATAACGAGCATTAAACTTTTTTTTGGGTTAAGGCAAAATTATTTTATAGAGTTAACTTAAAATAAAAGTACTATATGCTTAACTTTTATAAACTTAATTTAAATAGCACTACTTTGAAGTTTTAAAAATTTATTATTAGAAAACTCGCTTAAATATAATTTAAAAGTCATCCAACTTTTTATAAGTATAAAAGATCACAAACTCTTATAGTATTCTGATATTTTTAAAAAAACTTCTTACTCCTCTTAATATTTAATGTCTTTATATGTTATATTATAAAAAAATTTTTTATGAAAAAGATTCATCCTTTTCCTTAATATCTTTCAAAATTTTTAAAAAAATTACTAGCCACGTATAAGATTTATATAACACAGTTTTTGCTTAGATAAAATTTAACTTTAATAATTTTAAGACGAATATAATAAGCAAAGAAAGAAGAGTCATATCAAAATTAGTTTAATACTATAAAACTCGTATTATATAACTATCGATAGCTTACTATATGCCGTAGTTAAAAGTTCAACTCACTTTATTAAATAATTTTTTTTATTTTTGCCGTGTGGATAGCCGTCTTATTCTTTAAAAACACCATAAAACTAGTCCCACAATAAAGTCCTTTCTTTCATATCGGTAATATCCTATAGTTCTCGCATAAGTATCATATCTAACTCCTTTATATTTAGCTTAAATGGTATTTTGGTTTACCCGGGAACTAACTTCCTACGTATTACATCTATCTTCTTAAAAATATAAAGTAGTCCTTCTGCAGAAACTACACTCTTGCAATTTATTTCTAGTTAAAATCTAAAGTATAAATCAATTAGTAACTCAGTTTACCTCTAAGAAACACATTAATTTCGATATATTTATAAAACGAAAGGCAGTGGAGCACACCGCCCCTCTTACAGCACAATTTTCCCCGAAACGTTATCGGACGCGCTTCATAAGACAGTTATTTGTTTTATTAGAGCCAATCAGATTAATTAAAAATGTGAATTTTCTTTTCAAGGAGAGCCCTACAGACGACTTTGGCTCCCGTTTTCTATGACTTTACGCAGAGTGGTAGCCGATTCAGATCTTCTACAAGTAATGTAATTCTTTAAATTTCATTTTTTTTTAATTTTTAGAAGAATTAAAGAAGTCAGTTCAAAGCTCCGACCTCCAAGAAAAAAAGTGCTTTGTATAATTAATAGGAATTTAATGGCGTCTCTCAAAATTCTAGATTCCCTTCTAGAGCAGCGGAAAAGAGTTTTGAACAACATAAAAGCTCTAGAAATTGAATATTTCGGCTATTATGCTCGTCTACAGTTGGGTATCATCTTAACTATAATACTTGGCTTTTTTATTAAATTACATTTATAAAAACCACAACTAAAGTTAAGGATTTTAAAATTTATAAATTATTAACTATTTAACCTTTTTATTTGCTATCTTTTTATAATATTAACTTAAAAAACCCTAAAGAGAGAATGGAATCTAATTTCTTTTTGACGGCACAACTTTCTCCCCAATGGTTTCTGGTAATCCCTTTCTGAAATGTAGTACAATAATTTATAAACTTACAAATTTTATAAGGAAACTTTAAAGATGTACAATGTATGTGAAGCATTTTTAAATGAAAACTTGGATAAGGTTTGTAAAATATTGTTTTTAGCTTCTAATTTTTTTTATAAATATATTATTTGTAAACTTTTATAATTATCCTTCAAGTTAAAAGATTGTTTATGAAAGGTTATTTGGGTCAATTCTATATTAATAATAATTTTCTTTAATAATAAAAATGATCCGATAGTACAAGAATATGTTATGCTACTAGTAGAGGGAAAAGTTGGTTAATAATTTAGTAATAAAGTTTTTTTTTAATTTTTATAGGACATGCGGAATAACTTATAAAATTCAAAAGTTTTTAAAAAATAATTACAAAATTAATACATTATAAAATAATCAAATAAAACAAGTTTAATTCGAATCGAAGTTATATACTTCTGTGAAGCTAAAAAAAATAATCAACACTAATACCTTTACTTAGCAGCATTAAAGCTATAAATACGCAATTAACATACATTATTTTACATGCAATCCAACACTAACGGGCCAACCAAAATAAGCTTTTTTTTTAGTGAAAAATGCTTAAGTTTTAAGTGTATTTATAACATATATATAAAATCATAATATTTCTACTAAAGTAAATCTTATAGTGGTATACATATCCAGCACAAAGCAAGGCGGTGGCGCTACTTTTTTTAAACATTATTATAAATAAATACTTAATATCCTTTAATAATATCTCTAGAATAACTATTCTTCTTACAAAGTTTTGATCTCATTAGCCAGGTTAACACTTTGACTGAAGTTTATTCTTAGGCGCTTTTGAATTTATAAAAAAATTAAAACTTATAAATATAACGAGTTTCTAATTTTTGGATTCATTAGTTGCTACAAACGAACAGAATTGCAAAAATAAACATTATTAGCCAATAGAGAGGCCGCAGGACAAGTTTTTAATATTATTTTACTTTTTAGAAAACATTTTGAATTTGAAAAAATATTTAAAACTAAATTGCAAAACGTGTATTACTATTGTTTATATCAACTTTCAATATTTTTTTTACAATGCTCAACAGTTTTATGGTCACGAGGCCTTATATTCAGAATATAAAGAAAACTTGGCGAGTCTTCATTGCTATTTACTGGAATTATTAGAGACTCGCTCACATAAAAACAATGAAAAGAAAGAAAAAAAAGAAAAAAGGAAAGTTTTTAGGGGGAATACCGAAGGAAGTTTACTTGAAGGTGTAATATATTTTTTTCCTAATAAAATAAACTGAATAATCAAAGTTTTACTATTCCTTAAAAATTATATATTTTTTATAGAAGTTTTTATTTTAGTAATAATATTGCGTATAACTATATTTTTAATCTAAAAAAGATAAAAACTTACTTATTTTCTTTACTATAATAACGATTTTTTTTATAAATATAGCGGTTTTGAATATAATAAGATAATAATTATGCCAAACGAAGTATTTTTTAAAATTTTAGGCATAATGATAAAATATTACTTTATAACATATAGTAAAATATTTAAGTGATTTTTTTAATTTACTTTGGTATTATTTATTTTATGTAGTAAAAAAGTTAATTTTTTTTCGAGTTATTCATGAAAATATGTATAAATAGTATCTTTATCATATAAATTTCACTTAGCTTTTATAATAAAATAATAAAAGTATCATGAAATGTAAACTTATCTTCATCTTTTTTGTTATAATCATTATTATTTTTCTATTTCTTTTCTTTTTCTATTAAGTTTTATTAACTAAAAAAAATAGAAGACATTCTTTTTGAAAATTATTATAAATAATAAAAAAAGCTTGTTAAAGTAAAAAGAGATTTTATTTTTTATGTATAATATATAATAAATATTTACAATAAAAAACTAAAATAAATGCTTTTATAAAAGCTTATAATGTTTTAGAAATTGGCGAAGACGAAAAGAGAGAGAAGAATATCAATTCAAAAATTTTTAAAAATGAGAAAAGTGAGAAAGAAAATTTAATTGTCGAGAACATTCCAGAAAAAAATAGTAATATTCCTGTTTTTAAAATGGAAAAGTGTAACCCAAATAATAAAACAGTTGGCAATTGCAATAGTACTAATGATGATAATATATTAAATAGTATAAAGAAAATACAAGAAGTAATAGAAGTAGTAAATGAAGATGAGACGTTCGATAACAAAGAATGCGAAGAAGGTACAATATTTAATAAAAGTAGAAGTAATTATAAGGAGGAAGTGCCAATGAAAAACTGTGAACGAAACAAGAATGAAATGAATGTTTTAAAAAGTGAAAAGGAAACGAACAATATTGACGAAAAGAAAGTAAATAGTAAGAATACTTTTGAATATAAAAATATTCTTAATAATAAATATGATAAATATGATAATGATAATGATAATAATAATAAAGAAGTTTTACACAGTACTTATCTTGAATATTTTGATAATAAAAATAAAGAATGTCGTATCGAAAATAAAAATAATAACGTTAATAATTTTTCCAGTGAACACGATATTCCTGAAGACAAACTTGATAATAATAAAAGTAATAATATTGAAAACAAAAAGAAAAGAACCAATTGTGTGGCCAATAAACTACATAAAAAGTTTGGTGGTTCCAAACGGTTTGCTGGAGACAAGTGTGCTATTTATAGCGAAACTAAAAACTTTAAGAAACAGGAAAAGCGGGAAGCGATTAATTTCGACGACTTAAGCAACGACAACGAGTTGGGTGAAAGCTCGGAGGCCTCCGAATTTATGAAAAAAGAAGAACCGCCAAAAGCAGGCACCAATAATAATTCTTTGGGTCCAAGCCCAAGCAATGATACCTTTTTAAGTAAAGAAAAACCGCCAGTTATCCAAGTTAGTCCCCCAAAATCCCAGTCGAACGAAATTTTGCGAGAACTTAGTCTCAACACCCATCAATTGGAGGAAGAAGCTGTGCTTAACAAAAGTGTCAACATTCATAAAAATTTACGCCCTTCTGACTTGAGCCCTGATATCTGCGAATCGCTTGAGTTAAAATTATCTTCCAAAGATTTAGTGAGTCGCCTTATGAAAAAAAGAAACGCTGATTGGGGGAGTATTAAGGCGTTGGACTCTTCCAAAGTCAATGCAAATATTTTTGGTGACACTTTGAGCCCAATAGGAAATGAAAAGAGAAAAAGAAAACTTTGCAGAGTTCGTAAGGCTTAATAAAACTTATAAATTGGTAACTCGCTCAAAATTTATTACTTTTATTATTTTAAATATAATAATTGTTTATTATAAAAATGTCTTAGAAAAATAAGTAATGACCGTATCATTAAAAATATTGTTAGAAGAATGTTCTGGAAATTTTTGTTCAACCAGAAGTTTCTGAACTTTAGCTATATATAAGAAATATATCACTTAAGGGGAAATTTAAATAAAAGGCTTTAGCAAAAAGAATTTCCAATAGAAAAAACTGTATTTTATAATTATAAAGTTAAAGAAAGATTTTCAGGACAAGATCTTATAATTCGATAATTATAAAACATGTATTTATACTTAAATATAAGTTCCAAGAAGGTAAAGTTTATTAAATAGTTATAATAAATATGCTTACCAATAGATGGGTATTCATTTTCAAGATAAGTACTTCCAAATCTAAAAATTTGGAAAAATATTTTTAAAAGATAATATTATACATAAATAAGTATTTATTAGATAATTGTTAAAATTTCTCTACATAAAAGAAAAAAATCATCCATTAACTTTAAAGTTTAAAATATAATTAAATAAATATAAAAAAAATAAACAAGGAATATTAAATATGCCACCGAAAGAAATATATAAAATATATAAATTTTGATCCACTTTTGTTTATAATTTTTCAAGGAATTTCCAAGAATAATTATATTTTTAATTCCGTTAGGCCAGTTTGCTTTAATAAGATTTTCATAGAGTCGAATATTATTGTGAGGCATAAAAAAAAAAGTCGGAATAAAAACTTTGCAAAAGCCTTCCTATATTGATAATAAACATACAATTAAAAGATAAAATTTATAAATATGTAAGTACTTCGTTTTCATCCAGAAAAAAAACATCAAAACTTTTTACAATGGCCAACTCAGTTTCATTAAGAAGTGGTTCATAAAGAAATGTAGCGGAACACTAATTTTTATTTAATATAATAATAAATAATAAACAGTAATACTTAATCATTTCTTTCTTATTAGCTATGAAAATAATAAGAACTTTTAAATAAAAGATAACTTGCATAATTTTGTTATAATAATTACTATTCTTATCTTATACTTTTTTTTTCTTATAAAACATTAGTTGTTAACGTTATTAAACATAAGTGTAAGGGGACGTTTCTTTTATCACATCTTGCCTTTGTACCTATATTTTTTTATGGTATAAAGTATAGTAATAATAATAAAGTCGTTAAGTATTAAGCTATAAAAGTTTCTTAAAACTTTAATAAAAGTAAAGAAGATATTAAAACTAAGGTAATTATAAACAATAAAAATAACTATTTATGCACGCCCAGTGCCTCTTCTTTCTTAAGTAATGTAATGAAAGCAAAAATTTACGTAAATTTAAAATAAAAAAGATTTGTAAAAGGAGGAAGAAGTTTTATTATAAAATTTATAAATATGTTGCATAAGGCAAAAGTTTTATTTGTAAAGTTTGATGGCAACAATTTACTACAAAACTTGCATTTTAAGTAATCTGTTTACCCTCTAAAACTTTTACAAAAGAACAATTTTCAAGTTTGATAGCAACAATATTACCAAACTTATAATACAAGAATTCTATTTTGTTTTCCTTAAAAACTTTTACGTGAAAAGAAAGTTAAACTATTCCTTCAATAAGTTAGGCTAAGCCGGATAGTTTAATTTTTTTTTATTAAAATTTTGTTTACAACAGATGATAAAAACTTAGGCTAGGTTATATGCTCAGTAAGGCAAGTAAAGTTTTTAATTGAAAAACCATTCTTTAATACTGACTTTTATCGCTGAAATTTTAAAACAACCTTCAAATTTTTGGAGGCAACTTTTATTTATGTATATCAAATTGATAAGTTTAAAGAAATAACCTTTTCACTAAAAATTTACTATTATATACTCATCGTGCCTAATTTTTATTCAATAGTTACTAAATATTACGTCATAAAAGTTGACTTTGGCGAACCTAATATTAGTTATTTGTATTTAGTGACTAAAGAAAATTGAATAGTAAATATTTTTATTTATTTACTAATAATTCTCAAGCAAGAAACTATTAACTTAACCCTAAAAAGTCACTGTCTTGCAGACTTTTAGGAAACAGCAAAGTTTATACAAAACATGAGTAATAATAATTTTAATAGAGCGTTCAATCACGGACTTTTTATATATTTTGTACAAAAAAGCCTTTGTAGATCTTTATACATTCAATAAAAAAGTTATTTTACTCAACCATATTTTATTACTATCATTCTTATAATAATAATATTCTATCCAAGGAAGTGGTAATTATATTACTTAAGAACAATCCCATAAGCAATGCTGTTTATAAGTATTTTATTTATATGCAATAAGCTTGCTGTAGTGTAATAAATTCTACAAAAAGAGTACAATGTTTATATATTATGAAACAGAATCATGTGTTTGCTGCATTAAAGTTTATAACATAAATTGTTTAAACTCGTTTATTAGTTTTTTTGCGTTGCTTTATTAATTAGAATTAGTAAAAAATATTAAACTTAAGAACATGCAAAGCTAATAAATAAACGGAGGTTCGGAAAATTTCAATTAATTTAATGAAGCGATATAAAAAGTGTTTAAAATTCAATGAAACCTTTAATAATTCTTTAATTAGTAGTAAAAGCGCAAACTGGACACGTGACGGCTGTAACCCGTCCAACCGGCCAATTCCAAAACAGTATATGTCTTCTACTTTAGTGACTTTTGGAACTTGAAGAAATATACCTGTCCCACCAATAAAAAGGAAAACGGTAAAATTTTCAACCAATAACTGAGTTGAATTTTATACATATATTAAAGGTGACCCTTTAGTGAAAAACAGGCACAGTTATTTACTTTTATAACTTGTCTTTACTTAAAATAATATGTCAACTTTTAAGATCAGGCTACGCGAATTTACAAATTAGACTAATTTTGAATAGAAGTTAAAAAAAATAAATACATCAGGTTGTAGAAAGCGAAATTTTATTTTGAACGGTGCAATGAAAATAATGCACTTTATTATGACACGAAAAAGATAATAATATATATAATGCTAATAATAGTTATAAGTATCAAGTAAATAAAAATAAGGGCGAATAAAAAAATTCGATGGACTACGACAGTAATAATCAAAAAAAGCTATACAGAAAAGAGAAAGTGAATGTTAATTACAATAATATTAATTAATAATTATAATAAAATGTTATAAAAACTTATAAATTTAAAAAACGAGACAAAATTCAAGTAAAAGGATACATTAATAGATAAGCAATTAAAGTAAAAAAGGTAGTAACTTGAACAAATAAAATAGTGTATTCCTTGGTCCAATATATTATATAAACCAAGAAAAGAATTTAAGAAAGAAAGGCTTCTTATATACTATAGTAAAACTTCTTTTTAAATTATAACAATTACCTTTAAAATAGTGGAAAAAAGCAGAGATTCGCAATGATTCACTTTAAGTTATAATAAATGGGAGAGCAAACAGTGATTAATGTATATATAGTATTACATCTCAAAATTAATTTCTTTCTTCAGCAGTAAAAAAGAAGAATTTCTAATGAAATCAAAACATGTAATTGAACTATTCTTCTTACTGTGGAAAACACGTCGCTTATTAGAAACCAAAACAAACCCATCTGAGTAGAAAAATAATAGTTACTGGTAAAAAAAAAATAGTTTATATGTATACGTGTGACCTTCATCAATAATTTTCTTCATGGGGTTTTTTATAAAAAAGTTTATATTAAA